TTACTAGGGGGTGTATTGGTGATCCCGGTTAGTCTGGCTGTGATGTTGATGTATATATAGATATAGAATCATTAATGTTTACTAGGGGGTGTATTGGTGATCCCTGTTAGTCTGGCTGTGATGTTGATGTATATATAGATATAGAATCATTAATGTTTTTACTAGGGGGTGTATTGGTGATCCCGGTTAGGCTGGCTGTGATGTTTATGTGTATTCAAATATAGAATCATTAATTTTATTACTAGGGGGTGCTTGTATGTGTACATGTAGGTCTATTGTTTTTTCACAAAATAAAACAGGGAAAGTTTAAGAAAAGTTAAAGACAAATTAGATACAAAAAGTAAAGATATAGGGTTTGATGGGCTGATTGTTTATACCTACAGTGTCTAAATCATGACATGTCAGTTTATTACCAGTATTATAAAGTAGTTGAATGATTATGACATGTCATTAGAACATAGGGTCATATGACCTTGGTGTATTGTATCAAGTAATTAACTCATGACGTCTCATAAGCTTCTGGTCTTGACACACTGTTAGTCAGTTGGTGAAGCATTGATAATACTTATTAAAAGAAAGGTGTCATATCGGTGAGTTTTTAATGATTTTTTTTGAGTAAATAATTTCTGTATTTATTATTTTCAATTGATATTCATGAAACGTGGTTGTAGACCCTACACCAGTACTGTGAAATACATGTTATACGTATTGAGGTGGTGGGGGAGGAGTGGTACCGGAGTGTTTGTAGAATGTCATAACCATTTTACTTCATTGTGACAATTCAAGTTTAGTTTATTTGCATGGATATATATGTATTGTTCATCAGCATGCTTTGTTTTCATTTTTGAACTGAATAATTTACTTACATGGACAGGTAGGTAAGTTTAATGTCTAAGTATTTGGGAAGGAAAAGTTAACGTTTCTAAGAATCGTAAAGAACGTAATAAAATGTCAGAAATTACTTCAAATAAATGCTTGTTATCCCTTAGTGAGTTTGTAGAATTATCTAAAAACCTTACTTAATATTTTACTCCAGAAAATAAGTTTAGACAGTTAATGTTTGAATATATATTCATGTAAATTTATCACAACTGAATAGCAGCACGTAAAGTAGAGATTTTTATATTCTACCTGCCAAAAACTTAATATTTTCAGACAATTTTGTGAAAAATTTTGATTACTCAAAGACGGTTTGGCTATTTACTGGATATGCTGGTAGGGGGAAAATTGAAATGACTTCATATACCTCTGTCTATGGTAGGGAATTACAATCCTGTATTTATTGGTCTGGGGACTTTTTATGTCTAGGGTGAGAATCAGCTAATGAAAAATTAAAATTTGATTTTTCAGAGTCCGCCTCAGAATGATGGACTGAGTCAGGGGGAGGACAACCGAATACATTCCACGATGATGTCATCAGGCAGCTTTGTACCAGACACAAAACATTACGAGCTTTATACTGTTATAGGTGAGTTATCAGTATTTCGTTTGCAATAATTAATAATAGTTCAAGGTTCTTATATACCACTTTATCACAATCTAGTTCGTAGGTCGTCTCAAAGCGGTTCACAAATTATTATCCGTTTTTATAGGGCCTTTCCAACCAGCCAATATCTTTCTCAACTCCCTGGGGAGCATTCAGCCGGTGCTGCCATTTCGGCGCTCACAGCTTGCATTCTACATTTCTAGCACTGCCCAACCACGTACTCATTTACAGCTGAGTAGACTGGAACAAGCGGAGTAAAGTATCTTGCTCAAATATACAACACAGTGCCATGCCGTGACTCGAACTCAAAACTCTTCGATCGAAAGCCTGGCGTCCTACCACTAGATTACCTTGCCTTCTGTTCTGTTTAAATAAATTTGTTCTTTGAATGTTACAGATTATTGATATGCTTGTGCTTGTCAGCACCAATTTATAACAGGTGATTTATACAGGCCGTTGGACCTCTTCTTTTGTTTGGTCTAAAACAAAATGTATGACAGTAAGTCTTGAGGTCTTAGTTTCCATTAGAGAAACCCAATTATTTCATTAGAGGACTTGAACTAATACTGATGTGTTGTGTGTTGTGCTGCAGGGCGCGGGTGTAATGACACAGCTGGTATCATCCTAACCAAACATATACCATCTAGCAAACACATTGCCATCAAAAAGACCAATCTCGAGTCTTGTGACATCGACTTCTCAGTTCTCCAGGTATGTGAGCGACAAAAATCATGGGAAATAATTCCTACTGTCATGTGATTTTGTCTGATGGTGTTAAGTCATCCTTTTGCAAGTAGACAAATTCTTTTTCAAATATGGTATTGACTAGATGGTAATCTGTTTGTGAGGACAATTGTTTTTTTTTTTGTGTTTTGATAATTGACTACAAAGATATCCCCTTTGTGAGTGAACAAAAAGCTGTTGTCTTTTGATAATTGACTATAAAGATACTCCCTGTAGTGTAAGTTGACAAGACAAAATCCTTTGTCCTTTGATAAAAGACTATGATAATACAATAATGTAATTATAATATACAACATTTATATAGCGCCCTATATAATTTGTAAAATTACTCTAAAGCGCTTTACAGCATATGGATAATAGTAATGGTTATAATTGTGAAAACAAACAACAAAGGCTTGCAATCACTTTCATACATTTAACAAGCAATGTGCACATAATTGAACAAATAAAAGGGTGGTATTTACATGACGTCTTTGCAAAGATTCTAAAATGCAGACGTGAAGAGGTGAGTTTTGATACCTATAAAGCCACTCCCTGTGTAAGAAGACAAAATCCTTTGTCCTTTGATAATTGACTATAAAGATACTCTTCTGTGTAAGTTTACAAAATCCTTTGTCATTTAATGATTGTTTATAAAGTCACTCCCTGTGTAAGGAGACAAAATCCTTTGTCCTTTGATAATTTACTATAAAGATACTCTTCTGTGGGTATAAGTTTTCAAAGTCCTTTTTCAATTGATAATTGACTACATGTATAAAGATACTCTTTGTGTAAGTTGACAATAGTCGTACTCCTGTGAAAAGACAAAACCTTTTGTTCTGTGATATTGAGTAATTGTACTCCATTAAGTTTAAATAGAAAAAATTCTATAAGTGGCAATATTTCAGAATGAGGTGATATTGTGCCGACAACTACAACACGAGAAGGTCCTGCCGATCCTGACCACCTTTATACATGACCATGAGTTATGGACGGTGATGCCTCTAATGGCCTACGGTCAGTACACTGGACAGTGGTCAATCACTCCCTGTGAATCATTATTGAAAGACAATTTGAACAATAGATGGTACTGAACTTCTGAGGACTTGAGCATCCATATAATGTAATCTTTGATAATTTCCTGTATTCAAGTTGTAGAATTGATTTGAAATGCAATCTTCATCTGATCCACAATTTAAAAAATAATTTCACGGTCATTATAAGGAATGACTTAATAGCTTGTTGTAACAATATGATGAATATTTCAGGTTCCTGTAAGGACCTAATCCATGCCTACTTCACCAATGGTCTATCAGAACAGGCATCATCCTACATCCTCAGGGATACTCTTCTGGCACTGGAGTACCTACACTCCAAAGGAATTATACACAGGTAGGTAGAATCTCCTAGTCAAGATGTACCTACACTCTACAGGTATCATACACAGGTAGGTAGAATCTCCTATTCCAGATGTACCTACACTCCAAAGGTATCATACACATGTAGGTAGAATCTCCTAGACCAGATGTACCGACACTCCAAAGGTATTATACACAGGTAGATAGAATCTCCTAGTCCAGATGTACCTACACTCCACAGGTATCATACACAGGTAGGGAGAATCTCCTATTCCAGATGTACCTACACTCCAAAGGCATCATACACAGGTAGGTAGACTCTCCTAGTCCAGATGTACCTACAGTCCAAAGGTATCATACACAGGTAGATAGAATCTCCTAGACCAGATGTACCTACACTCCACAGGGATTATACACAGGTAGGTAGAATCTCCTATGCAAGATGTACCTACACTCCAAAGGTATTATACACAGGTAGATAGAATCTCCTAGTCCAGATGTACCTACACTCCACAGGTATCATACACAGGTAGGTAGAATCGCCTAGACCAGATGTACCTACACTCCACAGGTATCATACACAGGTAGGGAGAATCTCCTAGACCAGATGTACCTACACTCCAAAGGTATCATACACAGCTAGGTAGAATCTCCTAGACCAGATGTACCTACACTCCAAAGGTATTATACACAGGTAGATAGAATCTCCTAGACCAGATGTACCTACACGCCAAAGGTATCATACACGTGTAGGTAGAATCTCCTAGACCAGATGTACCTACAATCCACAGGTATTATACACAGGTAGGTAGAATCTCCTAGTCAAGATGTACCTACACTCCACAGGTATCATACACAGGTAGGTAGAATCTCCTATTCCAGATGTACCTACACTCCAAAGGCATCATACACAGGTAGGTAGACTCTCCTAGTCCAGATGTACCTACAGTCCAAAGGTATCATACACAGGTAGGTAGAATCTCCTATTCCAGATGTACCTACACTCCAAAGGCATCATACACAGGTAGGTAGACTCTCCTAGTCCAGATGTACCTACAGTCCAAAGGTATCATACACAGGTAGATAGAATCTCCTAGACCAGATGTACCTACACGCCAAAGGTATCATACACGTGTAGGTAGAATCTCCTAGACCAGATGTACCTACACTCCAAAGGTATTATACACAGGTAGGTAGAATCTCCTAGTCCAGATGTACCTACACTCCACAGGTACCATACACAGGTAGGTAGAATCTCCTAGACCAGATGTACCTACACTCCAAAGGTATTATACACAGGTAGATAGAATCTCCTAGTCCAGATGTACCTACATTCCAAAGGTATCATACACAGGTAGGTAGAATCTCCTAGTCCAGATGTACCTACAGTCCAAAGGTATCATACACAGGTAGATAGAATCTCCTAGACCAGATGTACCTACACTCCACAGGTATCATACACAGGTAGGTAGAATCTCCTATTCCAGATGTACCTACACTCCAAAGGTATCATACACAGGTAGGTAGACTCTCCTAGTCCAGATGTACCTACAGTCCAAAGGTATCATACACAGGTAGATAGAATCTCCTAGACCAGATGTACCTACACTCCAAAGGTATCATACACAGGTAAGTAGAATCTCCTAGACCAGATGTACATACAGTCCAAAGGTATTATACACAGGTAGGTAGAATCTCCTAGACCAGATGTACCTACAGTCCAAAGGTATCATACACAGGTAGGTAGAATCTCCTAGTCAAGATGTACCTACACTCCAAAGGTATCATACACAGGTAGGTAGAATCTCCTAGACCAGATGTACATACAGTCCAAAGGTATTATACACAGGTAGGTAGAATCTCCTAGTCAAGATGTACCTACTCTCCAATGGTATCATACACAGGTAGGTAGAATCTCCTAGTCAAGATGTACCTACACTCCAAAGGTATCATACACAGGTAAGTAGAATCTCCTAGACCAGATGTACATACAGTCCAAAGGTATTATACACAGGTAGGTAGAATCTCCTAGACCAGATGTACCTACAGTCCAAAGGTATCATACACAGGTAGGTAGAATCTCCTAGTCAAGATGTACCTACACTTAAATGGTATTGTACACATGTATTTATCATATATGTAAAAATCTCCTACCCCTTGAGAACCAACAATTCCAAGAGAATTTTAACATTTTACTTTATTTTTCTGCACAGACTGTCCAGGCTTGATTAGGTGCTTCTGTACTTTGTATTATTAGTTATTATTAAATGCAGGTTTGTAGAATCTCCAAACTCTGAAGTACATAACTTCAAAGGTCTCACACAGGTATGTATCATAACTTCAAAGGTCTCACACAGGTATGTATCATACTTATTTACACTCTCCTAGCCATGGAGAATTGTTGTTCCAAAGGTTCTATGCATGGTTAGCTTCATGTCTGTTGTCAAGAAAGAGAATAATAATTTTACACAGTCTTTACTCATTTTGATCACTCCTTGTAACAGGAGTGTGAGAGCAAGTCACATCTTGGTAGCCGCCAATGGTAATGTGTGTCTGTCAGGCCTCAGGGATGCCCACAGTATGATACAGCGAGGCCGGAGACTGAGGATCGTCCATGATTACCCCCAGCACTTTGTCCGTTCTCTACAGTGGCTTGCCCCTGAAATTCTGGAACAGGTTGGTATCAGATTATTTTACCTCCTGGCTTCCATAAGGTCTGCAGCTAGCACTGTACGATTGTATTGTAAATAAACTGGAAATTGTTGATGTTAGTTACGTAGCTGCCTAACCTACATTGAAGCCTTGGTAGCCGTGATCGCTAACAGACCACTCAGACCACTCGCTCTCCAGAGAATTTTGGTTTGATCCCCAGCGGCGGCGGAAAAAAAGAGAGTGATGTCTGATAGAGTTAGTTGGTATCCCTCCGATGGCACAGTTGTTTTCCCCTAGTGGGTTACCCTCCACCACGAAAAACAACTTTTGTTCCCATAGCGGTGTCGTAATAAAAGCTCTACAGAGCTTATGTTTGTTGTTGTCAATGGATACGACGTTAAATAAAGATTACTTGTTTATTTTAAGCTACGCCTACGCTGGTAGATAAGCATGTTGTCATTTGGCAGAACTTTAATTTTATAACCTGCACAGATTAGACTGAAATGACTGCCTTACTGATTTCTGAAACGATGTCACTGGTATGATTCAATTGTTCTTAAAGGTGTAATATAACTGACGTTCTTCCAGTGCTATGGGCACTTTAAAGTATTACAGTAAAGGTCTTTGGAATTGTTAATTCCCTGGTGTGGTGGTAGGTTAACCTTACATTGGGCAACTTTTGTCTTATTTCCAGACACCAAAACTATTACGGGTAGTAATGGTAGTGTTATACCTAGGCAGAATTTCAAGAGAATTTCTGGAGCAAACAGAGAGTTCTGGAGTTTGATATCATGAGAAAAAGTGTTTTTTTTCAGACATGTATAAACAATATAGAAGGAAAATGTGGTGACAACAGTTATCTAACTCTCATGGATTAATTTTAAAATAAAGTCAGTTAAACTTGTGTCTTAAAAAAGATGAAAAACAAAATGTTGAGGAAAGTCAATGTCGTGCATCAGGGTAGTATTTTCTCATTTTTACCCTTTTTAAGGACTTATGGCCCTTTGTTAAAGATCTTTGTCCTGACAACTCTTCCTTAACTACTAGGACAATTTCAGCAAAACTGGTTCATCTGGGCTAACAAGATTTGGTTTGCAAGTATGTTTTGGCATTGGGAGGGAGTACAGGAAGTATGTCAGTGACCTGTATACAGATATAGCTGATCAGTCAATAAAATAAATCATTACTGGTGGGAGACTATGGATTAGTTAGCCTTTGGCTTACAGTTCTAGTTTAATTTTGACATATTATTTAATCTAATGCATAGTAAAATACAATTAAGGTTGGGGAATGGCAATTTGTTTTTACTTTCCGTTATGATCAAATTTTGGTTCTTTTGTCAGTGGATTTCAATATCCACTCATTCTATCAATATCTGGTTTAAAATTTTAGAACTTGATGGGATATGACTGTCTGTCGGACATCTACAGTGTTGGAATTACAGCCTGTGAACTGGCTAATGGCTATGCACCTTTTACAGACATGCCAGTCACACAGGTATGTACACACTAATGGTAAGCTGGTCAAATTCCTTTTACAAATATATGGGTCTCACAAGTACCTACACACTAATGGTAAACTGGCCAACTATGTTTTACACATATGATAGTCACACAGGTTTGTACAAATATCTGGCAAGTTATACTGGTATGGTAGTTACACAATGTTGACTGTCTGGTAAATCATTAACAAGGTTGACTGTCTGGTAAATCATTAACAAAGTTGACTGTCTGGTAAATCATCATTAACAAGGTTGATTGTCTGGTAAATCATTAACAAGGTTGATTGTCTGGTAAATCGTTAACAAGGTTGACTGTCTGGTAAATCATTAACAAGGTTGACTGTCTGGTAAATTTTTAACGAGGTTGATTGTCTGGTAAATCATTAACAATGTTGACTGTCTGGTAAATCATCATTAACAAGGTTGACTGTCTGGTAAATCAATAACAAGGTTGACTGTCTGGTAAATCATTACCAAGGTTGACTGTCTGGTAAATCATTAACAAGGTTGACTGTCTGGTAAATCATCATTAACAAGGTTGACTGTGTGGTAAATCATTAACAATGTTGACTGTCTGGTAAATCATTAACAAGGTTGACTGTCTGGTAAATTTTTAACGAGGTTGATTGTCTGGTAAATCATTAACAATGTTGACTGTCTGGTAAATCATCATTAACAAGGTTGACTGTCTGGTAACTCATCATTAACAAGGTTGACTGTCTGGTAAATCATTTACAAGGTTGACTGACTGGTAAATCGTGAACAAGGTTGACTGTCTGGTAAATCATTAACAAGGTTGATTGTCTGGTAAATCATTAACAAGGTTGACTGTCTGGTAAATCATTACCAAGGTTGATTGTCTGGTAAATCGTGAACAAGGTTGACTGTCTGGTAAATCATTAACAAGGTTGACTGTCTGGTAAATCGTTAACAAGGTTGATTGTCTGGTAAATCATTAACAAGGCACTCAGTATTGTCTGCAGTTGATTTATACCTGAAGTCAATATGGTATGGCTGATACTTCAAATTTCCTTTTTTCGTAGTACAAAACAATTACGATTTGAAGTAATTACTAAAAATTATTGTATTTCATTGTTTAAAGATATCTTATATTGGAACCCATAAAAACTATGTGATTTACAGTAATACTTGGAGTCTGTTTCAACTTCAAACATTTTTATAAAGTTTTCATCCTTAAATTTTTCCAAAGGGACATATTGCTGAAGTTATGGAAACATCTTGACTTGTGCTAAGAAATATATTTGAATCAGGGCTGAGTTCATTGTGATGACTTGTCTGATTACAGATGCTACTGGAGAAGATTAATGGTACCAAACCCGTCCTTGCAGACTGCACCACTATAGCAGATCTTGTGGGTGAGGAAAACACCAATCAAGGTTCTTATTTTAAGTCTTATACTGGTACCCCACTAAACAAACCAATCATAGCTGTTGTAGATCTTTAAATAGACTAGCCCAAGTTTCCTCTGTCTCTGATACAAGATTTAGACGTTTGGACATACAGATGTCTGGTGTATGAAAACATGGAATTCTCCAACACTGTTTGGTATCATTGAGTTTTGAGTTGCTGACAACAAAAATCTACTATGACACAACACATACCTTGCAGATATCGCTGGATAGGATATATATTTATTAATTTATTCCAGCAGTAGAGTCTGATTTCAGTCATTCAAAATTTCACCAGAGCGATATGGACTACTCAGCTGCTGTAATTTAAAGTTGTTCCTAATCCAAATTATATGGATTTTGGTGTTGGTTATTTCATTGTATACAAGTGTGCATTGATATTACAGAATATATTGGACATTAATCTGACATTTAATCGGATACTGAGCTTAGTTGCAGGTGATGCTAAAGTTACTATTATAAATTTGGTCCATTGTATTTTTCCTCTTATTTCAAATTAACACCTATTGTAAATTTCAGGTCACGATTCTGGAATTGACAGCGAAGCAACAAACAGCAGAGAGATCACCGACCTTGCTAACGCCCGCAAATTTTCCCATCATTTCCATAACTTTGTTGAAATCTGTTTGGAGAAAAGCCTGGAGACGAGGTGAGTTGTCTGAACACAAGTACTACTAGATGGTTCTCTAGGTTTGTTCTCTGTCATTCACTCAGCCTTGTCAAACTTTGACCACCATATCAGCTAGCCTGTCAAGCTTAAAGGCCTGACAACTGAAATGGGTCAAAGCTTGGTATTGGGTAGGATGGCCATACTATAGCCTGCAGTTAAGAACAATTACACATGAAACTTGTCAGATATACAATGGACTGACAAGGCTAGATTAAGGTTAGATATATAGGTGACTTGGAATCAGTTTTACCAGAAGTGGAATAGATATGGCAATGTGCACAGCTAGCATTATCACACAAAGGTACAAAGTCCATATCACAGACAAGTACAAATGTATATATGATAAACACAGATCTGTCATTTGACATGTATCAATTTTACAATATCTAAAGTTATGTCACTTATATCATACAGAGTATTGAACATTTTATTCTATTATGCTATACAAAATATATTTCTGTAACAATAAATTCAACTATATATAGGATCTTACATGAGTTTCAATTTCATATGAGATTTATGAAACAAGTCTAAGAATTTTTCAATTTAGCGAGCCTTTGGCGAGCTAAAATGAAAATTTTGTGACAAGTTTCATAAATTTCATATGGAATGAAAAACAAGTGTAAGATCCTTTTTATCACATAATCAAGATTTGTGGCATTTATTAGTGTAAAGCGACAATTTTCATAAAACCTTGAAATGTAAAAATACGCCATTTTGATTCCAGTGCATAAGTCTGTGATGCTATGTACTTGTCCTAGGCGTGACGTCACAATTGAAACAATTCAAACTTGTAACCAATCACAGGGCTGATAGGTCATAATACATGGGTTAATATGCCAAAAAATATGACATGGGCATATTCACTGGATAACACAGTACATTATGTGATAAAATGTTTTCATTACAAATTGAATAACATTAATGATCTGTATATTTTTAAGATATTGTTCATTGTTTTTCAGGCCAAGTGCATCCACATTGTTAGGTCATTCATTTTTCAAGCATCTGAAGAAAAAGACATCAGAGATGCTGCCCTCATTAATTCAACCACTGTCTCCACTCACAGACATCAGCAAGTTACCCAAAGGTATACAATTATCTTAAGTTGTCTCCCCTCCCTCCTCTCACAGACATCAGCAAGTTACCCAAAGGTATAAAATTATCTAAGGTTATCTCCCCTGTCTCCACTCACAGACATCAGCAAGTTACCCAAAGGTATACAATTATCTTAAGTTGTCTCCCCTTCCTCCTCTCACAGACATCAGCAAGGTATTCAAATGTATATAATTATGTAAGGTTATCTCTCCTCTCTCCAATCACAGATGTCAGCAACATATCCAAATGTATATAATTATACAAGGTTGTCTCCCCTCTCTAAACTTACAGACATCAGCAAGATGCCTATAAGTATATAATTATCTAAGGTTATCTCCCCTGTTTCAACTTACAGACATCAGCAAGGTTACCAACAGTATATAATCATACAACGTTGACTCCCCTTCCTCCACTCACAGACATCAGTGAGGTACCCAAAATAATATTTTTCTAAAGTTGTCTCCCCTTTCTACACTCATAGACATCAGCAAGGTATTCATAGGTATATAATTATCAAAGGTTATCTCCCCTGCCTCCACTTGCAGCCATCAGCAAGGTGCCCAAAGGTATTGATTATCTAAAGTTGTCTCCCCTGCCTCCACTTGTAGACATCAGCAAGGTGCACAAATGTATTGCTTATCTAAAGTTGTCTCCCCTGTCTCCACTTGCAGACATCAGCAAGGTGCTCAAAGGTATTGATTATCTAAAGTTGTCTCCCCTGTCTCCACTTGCAGACATCAGCAAGGTGCCCAAAGGTTTATAGTTAATATATAAGATTATCTCCCCTGTTTCATCTTGCATAAGATAATGTTATCAAATGAATTGCATGCATTTTTTAACTATCAACCAAGCACTTGATTATGATTGAATGTTTCAGAAAAAATGTAGACAATTAAGTCTGTGCAGGGCCTATTGGGTTACTGATTTCAATATTGTTTTCTTTGTATATAATGCCCAGTATTTAGAGCACAGGGCTTATTTAGATATGATGACAGATGTCCCAAAAGCTTGAAGAGGAAAATTGATTTAGGGGATATAGTCCCTGGTATGATTATGTCTCCCCTTAGAATGAAGGGAGACATATTGTATAAGTACTGGTTCTTCCTCTTCTTCTGGTTCTTCTAATCAAATTTGTCTGGGCCATAACTTTTAAACCGTTAGAGAGATCTTGATGAAACTTTAGGTATGCATGCATCACCCACAGGAGGTGTGCAGTGTACTGGATTTAGGTCACTGTGACCATCACCTCAAGGTCAAAGGTCAAATAAGTGCACATTTTCAGTAAATTCTTGTCTGGCTCGTAAATTTCTAACCGTTAAAGATATCTTGATCAAGCTTGAACCATATTTGCATCACCCACAGAAGGTGTGCAGTGCAATAGAACTAGGTCTCATGATTCACTATATACAGAGTTATGGCCCTTTGTTTAATTTTAATGCGAAAGTTTGTCTGGAGCATAAGTTCCATGTACTTTCACCTACGTTGACCATATTTTTTTTATACCAGAGTTTTTCTATTGGCTAATAAGGGGAGACTTATGTTTTTGTTCACAAAAACAAAATTCTAGTTGTTCCTGTTTTACAAATTTAGATGTGTTACGCGTTTGCTATTAACACATGATTATATTTTATTCTACGATTGCTATATTACACAGCCCAGGCAGGGGATGTAGACGACTTGGCTGAGGACATCAATAACATGTCAATGGAGGAAGGCTGGGATTTCTAGGTAACTGTGAGAGATGTGAGGTTTAGGTACCCATGAAGTTTTGGAACTGATGCGTTGTAGTATAATTATCATTGAGAGTATTGAAGGAATGCGATGGATTTTAGGTAACTGCAAGGATATTGAAGTGAGGCTGTGAAATCTTGGCAACAGAGAATGTGAAAAAACTATTTGTAATTCTAGGAGCTTCTGAGGGTTTTGAACAGAAGGCTCAATCTCAAAAGAACCTCAGAGGATACAGAAAGGTTTTTTCCTTACGCATCACTAGAACAGAAAGGGGAAATGTTTGACTGGTGGAATAGGAATGGACATCACTGTCTTGTAAAATTAATATGTTGTTAGAAAATATTTTTGAAGACAACAAGTCTCTTTGAATATGTCATCCAGTACATGTAACAATAGGATCCTTAATGAGTTCTCATAAAAACTGGGGATTTCTAAAAGGAGTCTTGAAATTTTCATTGAAGTTGCTGCAGAGAAAAAAAAGCAAGATTTTGTGACATTAATATGAAATGGAAACAAGTTTAAGATCGATAACCAAGTATGTTCACCAAAAAAAAGGACATGTTTATCGTACCATTGTCATCAGTGTGATGTCACGACGTCCTGAAGTCATATCTACGTTCATTATACTGCTATAACAACAGGAGGTGAACAAGGTCATATGCAAAAAACACATATAGTCGTGGTATACATGAAGAACCTTTGGGACATTAAACTTTCAGTTAATGTTAATCGTTTTTCCAGGTAGTTGTGGAATAACTAAACCATAAAGTGTAATGTTTTATCTGTTACCTGATTTCACACTTCAGTCTCAAATGATCAAGCTTTGAAAGAAAGAACCGCCACGTCATTCAGTTTCCTTTTTGTGAAAGTAGGATACACTCTGAACAAATCAACACGTTATTGTAGCAGTTGTGTAAACATTAGAAAAATAGTATATATCTAAGAATGTTTAGGAATTGAGGCCAATCTATCTAATGCAATATTTATCATTATGTTGTAATATTTAAGATAAATGTACATTTCCTTTCTCATATAAACTTTTGCAGAGGACTCTGTTGCTAAAAATCCTGAATAGATAAACATTACTTTCATACAATTTTTTCATATAATTTGTATAAAAAAAATATTAAAATGAAAATGTAGAATTATTTTCAGAGATTCGCCTTCAGAAAAGAAACAATCATATTTTCAGATATTTCTCACAAAATTGGATAAAAAAATTCTGTTAACAATTTGTAAGCTATTTTGCCTTTGAACAACTGAGCCCTTGTGTTGAAAGTTAAACAGTAGTTGTGTCCCTTATAATACTCTATTGTCACAAACAGAAGGGCGATGATAAACTGTGTATATTTGTCTATTCTCTTGACGAAATATCTCCTTTGGCTGAGAAAATAAGATCAATTAGGCAAAACAGTGTATACTGGTAAGATAAAACATAAAAATATATAAGAGTACAGTGTCTAAATGTTAGTACAATATCAGATACAAACAGACATCAGCAGGAATCGAAGCAGGAACCTGTGAATCTTATTGTTGCTTGGTTCATTTTGTGTTAAACTGTTTGTTTGTTATTAGTTAAAATAAGAACAGTGCGAGGTGTTTTAATGCGATTCAGAATTATACATTTCTAAAGATCCTTGCAGTTGCTCCAAGCATAAGGTAACAACGAGACAAGTGATATGTCCAATATTTGATGGAAAATTGTAAAAGTTTAAACTGTGCACTGTATATGGATTAATTGCTTGAAACAAGGATAACATACTCACTGTTGAGATCCTGTCATATTGCACAAATTTGTGTTTTGTTTTAGAGATGGCTTCAGACAAATTTTAGGTAATATTTCACTGTTTAAAAAATAAAGTGTTGGGCTATATATTTTAAAAATAAAAAGATATATTTATAGAAAGAGAGAGAGAGAGAGTAATAAAAACGTTTTCGACGTTTACTTTTCATTTTGGTATTTCAACAGTATTGAAAACGCACGACATTCAGCTTTAGAATGTTGAAAGTCAAAAGATAAAACTGTCAAAAGAGACTGAAACCATTATAAGTAGAGAATAATTGTATTATCATGTAACAAAATACCGGTCATAAAGAGTGTATAAGGTCTGCTGCACTTGAAATTATATATCATTTTCTCTGCATAACATTAGTGCTAACACTATAATTCAAAGCAACAACAAACGTCTGAACGGTGGTAACAGTTCTTTAATTTCATGAATTGATATACATACAGTATACTATTTAGTAAACCATTGAGGATGGTGAACGTTGTGACAACGTTTTACCTTTGTCTGTGTTTGTATGTAGCCTGTTTGTTAAGATGATTAAACTGTTGTTACATGGACTGTAATAAAATATGTTGAACAAAACTTTCTGGTGTCGTGACCTTTTGGCAGTATGTATTATTTAACACCCTAAAACGTGCAGAACAGTATTACGTCACAGAACTCAAAAACGTCATCTGAATATCGTACTATACATAGTAATTTTAGTTTGGATTGTTTGTGGTTTACGTCTGTTAATATCTATGGTCATTAAAGTTCCCGGAGAAACTGACCTACAGTCAGTACCTGGCGACTGTCCCATGTAGGTGTCGAACCCGCGACCCAGTGGTACAGGCTATACAAACCACTTACAGTAAGAAGGAACATATGAACGTAAAGGGTCGACATTAACTGGTTCATGTAGCTCTGTTTAAAGAAAGATTGGGAATTGAAGTACTGTATATGTATATTACGTAGGTCGTAGACAAAACCACAGGCTGACACAATTTCACATAATGATACAAAACCTTAGCTCTCCAATTTCCTATTTCCTGTAATTTATGTAAATCATTCACATAGCACCTGGTTAACCAGACAGAATCTTCTAGCACTTAAGGTGTATTCTTCATCCGTTTATACAAGAAATTGAATGACCTACCCGAGACCATCCATCTCTTCATGTCCTGAATATCTCCTACATTTCTAAACAGACTGTCAGCTGAATGTCTTAAAAGTCAGATACATGTACTTCATTCTCGACTATTATTACTTAAACCGAGTATTGTTTTTCTATATATCCTTTTAATATTGGAGATTAGGTTATTTCCGAATAACAAAAATCGTGTTATTACGAATGAAATATATATATATATATTTTTTTTTGTATTTTTTTAAATTTTTTTTCCAAATTTATAACAATGCAAATATATCATACATAAACATTATTCCTCTCACACATTACAATTCATTCATTAAATATTCATTTATAATAAAACTGCATATTTCCAGGTATAATTAATAATTAATTATGTTTATGTATAATTAAATTCCATCTAAATTGTGTCCGTTATATAAAAGCATTGTTTAGAAGTGATAGAAAAGAGGTTAGAGCAGGTCCTAGAGGTATAGAAGGGAAAGTAAGACTAAGAGAGAGAGAAAAAAAAAGAAGAAAGAAAAGAAAAAAGAAAAAAAAACGAGGGGGGGTGGATATTGAGAAATAAAGAAGCTATATAGATGTGTTGGAAGGTTCAATGAAATATATATATATTTATTTTATTCTATTCATTGTCCCGCAACTTCACGAAGGAAAAGTAGAGAAAGAACGCTACATTTCAGCTCTCATATTTCTTTGTGATTTACATAATCAGGTCGTATTTAAGATAATCAATTCAATACCAATTAAGATAATTTAGTTAAATAAGTCTAACATTTGCATATGGTGTATTCGCCATTGAAACAAGTGTTAAGGCTGCGTATGGAGTTAAGTATTTAGAAACATTTAACGATGTTAAGAATGCTTAATATTTTATTGTCTTACTTTTTTTTCCTATATTTATTTTTTGAAATGTAGAACAATTGTTTACATAGGAGACATATTTTCATATTTCTCATGAAACACCACTGACAATTCTATGATTTATTGATATGATGTTACATGTATATACTAAATATCGAAAATAAAAATAAGCGTTCACAGATGGAATAAAATAGAGCACTCAGAGGAATTCGGTTCCTGGCTCAAAATAACTGATATGTCTCCTGGAGCATGTGGTAGGCTCATTCAGCATGTCGCAGTGTTATCACGTGATGAGCTTCTTCAGTTCATTTTCCTTCAGTGCAATAGTGAGCATAATGCTGGAGCCAACACCGAGTCCCAGCATAGTGCAGACAAGATGGCGCACAGGGTGCTTAGAAGGGCTGCTACTTATTTCTGGAAGCTACAAGAAAGACATTTTTTAGATGAATTTGCAAAAAGTAGACTTAATTAACAATAGCAGAAAGTAAGAAATTGCCAAAGTCTACATTTACTTATTCTAATAAAACGTGGTTGATTTTTTTTAAAGAGAGTTCAAGTGACCGTTGATAGGGATATACACTTATCACTGAATGAGACAAACTGACTCGCTATCAACTTACTTTGTTGGTTCATGATTTTTTTTAAACTTTTGATTCATTTATTGTCATTTTTGTTTCGTATTCTGTCGCTATACCTTTGCCATATTTACATCAACGCAATATGGGGTTTTTTCTGTTCTGATTAAAAAAACCAAGCAAACCATCGTGTTAATTGTATGAATCTATGTATCGGATTTAAACCGTTTGCATGCCAGTTTTTGTTTCACATCACAATGAATATTAAAGGTGTTTTTTTTATATATGAGCATAACTTCTCAAATTACATTTTCAGGGTGTAAAAGGATTTGGTATGAAAACAAACGAAACATTGATACTTATAACTGTTCTTGAATTTATCGAATACTGGTATCGTAACTTACCATATCAACCAGTGAAATATAGATAAACATCCCAGCAACACAGACCAGTATGTAAACTTTGATGCTTGTGAAGTTGCCCATGGCGACTCCCGCCAGAACACCAATCAATGACAGAGCAGACGACAGACAATTGAAACCCAGCGCTTGTTTGACCGACATCCCTTTCTTGAGGAGGACGGCGAAGTCACCTATGGAACGAAGGAAACAGTTAACTAATAAACAATTGGTATGCATGTTCTCATACTTATATATATATATATATATATATATATATACAAATCGTATATCAATCTTTCCGTTCAGTTATCATTATTGTCTTCATGTTATTATTTCTTAGCAGTGGCATACACCAGATAAGTTGGTTTGGTTTGGTTTAGTATTGTTTAACGTCCTACCAACAGCTATGGTCATTTAAGTACGGCCTCCCCTGTGTGCAAGATGTAGGCGTGTGTGTTTTAGGAGGCTGCGATATGTTCGTGTTTGTCTCCTTGTGATAGCACGGAACTGATGCCGACTTTATAGTGCTACCTCACTGAAACATACTGCCGAAGACACCCAACAGGACACACCGCCCGGTCACATTATACTGACAACGAACGAACCAGTCGTCCCACTCCTATGAATTGCTGAGCGTTAAGCAGGAGTAGAAACTACCATGAGTATATAGATTCCACATATGTCGCCTCAAACGATCAACCATTTTGACAATTTAAAAACAATACACACACAATTAGGGAGCACCTTCTTAGGAATTTAAACTTTTGGTGTAGACAGCGAAACTAAGTCAATATTTCACTGAATCATGTGGCTCATCTGTGGAATTAGAGGTCGAAATAATGAAAATGCAAGTCTAAAATGTTAAGAAAGATATAAGGATATACCACGAACGATACCCATAAAACCACGCTTAACGTTACAAATACACAACGTTTACCTACATTAGGAAGCATATTCTTAAACTAGTACTCCAAAAGTCTAAAATGTGCAAGGCGATAAAATAACAATTTCAGTTAAAATAGCGTGTAACTGAAGGAAATGATGCATAAATGTCGCAAACGAGTCGAAAGTAAATTGAATCAAAGCGATGTCTTTTATATAATTAAGTAAGGTCTCAAAGTCTACAGAAATAACAACAAATCATGTCCAGAACGTGAAAGTATCTATCGTATTTGGAATGAACTTAACAATGAATGGAGCGGTCAACAAAGTATGTCAATTTATATAATGTCTGTTAACTTTCATATTGTCCCATATAAAGTAGCATTAACGCATGACCACATTTTGAATTGAAGAACAAGTTTATCACATAAGCAAATAGATATGTATGTTTAGCTATGTATCACTCCCGAAACGTTTCATTTTAACTGGATATATTTGAAAGTTTATCTGGACAGGGCTTGGAATATATAAAAGGGCAAAAACTCTTGGTAAAAAGTAGCCACCCGGAATTGTAAAGAACTTGTATCTTTTGCGAAACAACATGATGTAACGATCAAGCATTTAAGGTTCGGTTAAAATAAGCATATTAGTTCAGGCGGAAGGGTTCAAGTTCATTTATTTCCTAAAGTTTTACAACTGCTGACCAGTTTTGCACAATTAAACAACACACCACTTCCGCACGTACTCCTAGAAGTGAAGAGAGATATCCACTGCTAAAATAATATAATATAATAATAATAGAATAGTATTTGATGAAACGGACATATCAATGGTTTACTGACAAGCATAACAATAAGATATAATTGACTTAATTCAGTACATTTTGTCGTCTTCTACTAGCAGCTACATATTTGGGCAATTCTTACATATTTGGCCAAATCAGCTATTTATTTTTTATTTTCTGTGGACTACAACTTAATAGATTTATGCATACTTGTACTTGTAAAAATTGGCACTTAATCATCTTGTATGTCTTTCAATTCCACAAATTATCCCAATCCAATCCTCACCAATTCATTTTTATACTCATAATCCAATGATCCTAGCAATCGGACATTTCTTCATAGCATGCCATTAGATTATCTATTGCGCAGTTGTATCAATTATACTAAACATGCTAAAGTTACGACTAATTTCCATTGGATATGTTCCTAATTCAAAATACATCATACAATTTGGAGAGGTTTTACGAACACCAAGTAGATTTGTATAGAAACTTAACATATATTTGAAAGATTGATAACAAGAAGTAAGGATAAGCACATTCCTCAAAGGAGAATTCCTCAAAGGAGAAATAATAGTTACCGATTTCATGAGGAAGTTCATGACAAAGCACTGCTATGGAAGTACTCAGTCCACTAGTGATACTGTCCGCGAACGCCACTCCGATGGCCAGTCCGTCAGTAAAGTTGTGGATACCGTCCCCTGCAATCACGCGCCACACCATGGCTCCTGTGGACCCAAGTGGCTCATCGTGGTCGTGGCCATGAGAATGGCCATGTGAGTGACCAAGCTTTTCTTCTTCGGGAATATCAACTTCCTTTGTTAGGCTCACAACTTTTTCCAAAACTGTGTTGCCCTCCTTGTCTGGAAGTAAAATAGAAAGAAGTATGTCAGAGCGGCAATGTTATACGACAAAATACTAAGAAAATGTAAACATCAAACCTGAAGGATTGGCAAAACAACAGAACCTCAGAAAGAAATCTAAACAAAAGGAAAATCAAGAACATGAACTGTGGAGACACCTAAATGGAAGAAAAGGCAACGACAGGGACTGATGAGTCATCAAAATAACTGGAAAGACATAATGCTCCTTCATAAGCGTTATCCGGCACCGCATGCCTTGGTACATCACGACATAAGGAACTTTGATGGATCAACGGATGACATTTTTGCTTCTTTTGATTTAACACTGCTTGAGATTCTCCTTAACTTTTGTCTATAATTTGATATATGTGATAACTTGTTATTATACGCAATACTTTGATTAATGTTGCTTTGCACATGCATCATGCAAAACACCCTTCTTACAAGTTCCTTTGTTTCTTTTTGGTTTGGAAATGTTTTTATCGTTACGAGGAAAGTTTGTACATTTCAACGACTGATATATGCACGAATAAAACAATAAACCCTTAAACAGGAAACAATCTGGAAACAACAAAGGAACACCAGTTTCTGTAAGCTTTTTATTGCTTCAGATGTTCTTCAGTTTATCGCGAAAGGTATACATTATGTGTGATGTCATCATTAAAGACATCACACACTTATATTTACATTTGCGCTGCAACCCACTATATGAACATTACCAGTAGAAATGCATTTCATGTGAGTATAGAATTAAAACAAAAAGCTCTCGTGACGTAACACGTGGTTTTCTTATGACGTCATCGATTAACCTTGTTCAATGAGAGTCTTTTCGCATCACTTCGGATAATGGAGAATGTCCCTGCGTCAAACGCTTTAATGACCTCTGTTAATTATTGGCGCCAATTTTATTTAAATAGGGATGTCCCGCCAATGTCGTTTAAACGACGCATATACAAAACGCAGAAAAGAAACGAGTTATTGAAGAACAAATAAATAAAATCAAACAATTATTCCCAGGAAAAATGTAAATATAAGGTTTCAACGACGTTTAAAAAAACATCGTTCAACCCCTATATGATGTAGTCAACTTAGACATATACTCTTACACATTACAGCACTAACAATACATAGTACGCGGATATGTTTTCTCCAGTTCCGGTAATCTACAAAGTGGAGTTAATCTTCAACGTATTGTATCACTGTTATATATGTTACTCGTAAACTCTTATGTGTTCATGGTCTGTGAAGTGCTGTCTCAGGCGTAGTTCACGTCTAAACTGGCCAATCTGAAGATCCTATCACATCTCAGAAATAATTGCACTAATAGCATATTATGATATAAAGTTCACATTTCCCTCTCAAACAATAAATTTGAACCTAATTGTATAGAAAAATAATGATAGAACATTAAATGATTATTTTTTCACAACAGTGTACTCATGCTTTTGCATATTTATACTGACATTTTAATTGAAGCAAATCTAATGATGTAAAACCCACTACAAACTATATTGATGAACATTAAAAGTACGATCACAGAAGTTAAGGGTGTCAGATGCTTTGTAATACAAATTGTAAAGGTGCAATCTACTGTGGACCAAGAACAGAACCTTGTTGAACACCCGTAATTATATCAAAAGTGGACAAAGTACATAACCTTGTTGAACACCCGTAATTATATCAAAAGTTGATCAAGAACAGATTCTTGTTGAACACACATTATCAAAAGTGGATCAAGAACAGATTCTTGTTGAACACCTGTAATTATATTAAAAGTGGATCAAGAACAGAACCTTGATTAACACCTGTAATTATATCAAAAGTTGATCAAGAACAGATTCTTGTTGAACACACATAATTGTATCAAAAGTGGATCAAGAACAGAACCTTATTGAACACCTGTAATTATATCAAAAGTGGATCAATAACAGATTATTGTTGAACACCTGTAATTATATCAAAAGTGGACAAAGTACATAACCTTGATTAACACCTGTAATTATATCAAAAGTTGATCAAGAACAGATTCTTGTTGAACGCACATAATTGTATCAAAAGTTGATCAAGAACAGATTCTTGTTGCACACCTGTAATTATATCAAAAGTGGACAAAGAACAGATTATTGTTGAACACCTGTAATTATATCAAAAGTGGATCAAGAACAGATTCTTGTTGAACACACATAATTGTATCAAAAGTGGATCAAGAACATAACCTTGTTGAACACCTGTAATTATATCAAAAGTTGATCAATAACAGATTCTTGTTGCACACACATAATTGTATCAAAAGTGGTTCAAGAACAGATTCTTGTTGAACACCTGTAATTATATCAAAAGTGGATCAAGAACAGATTCTTGTTGCACACATATAATTATATCAAAAGTGGATCAAGAACAGATTCTTGTTGAACACCTGTAATTATATCAAAAGTGGATCAAGAACAGAACCTTATTGAACACCTGTAATTATATCAAAAGTGGATCAAGAACATAACCTTGTTGAACACCTGTAATTATATCAAAAGTTGATCAAGAACAGATTCTTGTTGCACACACANCCTGGATTAAAGGATGAAACACTTGTTGATTGGCGTCTCCCAGCTGATGAGTCAGTGGTTTTGTGCAGCACACGCTGTATACAACACATTTCAATATTACGAATAGCTCTATATATATGTTCATACGACCTTACTTACCTGGTGCTCGGATTACCATTGTCAAACCAGCGTCGTCATTTTCTTTCCGCATATTCTGAAAAAATAAAATAATTACCAACATGTAATGTAAGTTGAAAATAATATATCTGTTAATTTCTTTTTGCATTTCTACTTGTGAAAATGATAAAATATCCACTTGTATCTTTCACTGTAGTGAACATATAAGTTATGTTCCTTCAGATATGCGGAGATACTACAACGATATTTTCAGTTTGAAAATAAACACGCGTGGTCTTGTTACAACACACTGTTACTGTACAGCGCCGCCGCAAAATTATTCCTTCTCTAATTGTCCGTAGTTATATTTTACTTCAGTTACTAAAGAAAATGTTCATCTCGCAAAAATATTCCTGTGATAATTGATAAGTTGCAACCACTTTTTCGAAAAAAAACCATTCCTGTTGTATGGTATTATAGTGATGGTATTGCGCTACAAAATTCATCACGCATAACTGACAGGTAAAAAAATTGAAATCATAATGCATTTAGAGATTAACATTTATCATTTTTTCCGTAGTATTTTTCAGTGATGGTAGTATTTTCCAGACAAAGCATTTGTCTCGAGTTTAGGTCCCACTCAGGGTGATTATATACCCGAAACAAGAAATAATAATAATGATAATAATAATAATAATATACGATTTATATAGCACCTTATATAATTTGTAAAATTACTCTAAAGCGCTTTACAACATATGGATAATTGTATTAGTTATAATTGTGAAACAAAAACAAAGGCTTACAATCACTTTTATACATTAAGCAAGCAGATAATCATCGCAATGTGCAGATAAATGAATTAATAAAGGGAGGTATTTACATGACCAATTTGGCCAGGGTATTTGACATTCTAATAGCAGATGGTAAGCTATTCCATAACGTGGTCGAAACCCTCCCAAAGCACCGGTTTCCATAGGTGACAATATGAGATTTTGGGACACACAACAATGATTCTGACTCCGACCGCAGTTAACGCGACGGCTGATACAGGGTACCAAGCTCCTGTAGATACTTCGGAGTTGTTCCATTCAGTGCCTTGTATGTGTACACCAAAATTTTGTACTGCGACCTGTATCGTACCAGTGTAATGAATATTAGTTAGTTTGTCAGATATACCACAGAGCAGGGCGTTACCATAATCCAACCGAGAGGTAACATGTGAATGCACCAAAATCTTGCATGCAACTGCAGTTATAGACTGCCGGATACAGCCGATATTCCTGACCTGGTAGTAACAAGATTTGGCAATAGCGTTCACTTGTTTCTCCATGTTCAGTGAACTATCAAAGTATACCCCTAGATTTTTAACAGCTGGGACAGTCTCAATAGTTCTGGTACCGACCTTGTGCTGGAGAGCCATTGTTTGCTGACACTTTGGGAAAATACCATTAGTTCCGTCTATTTCTGATTAAGCTTTAGCATGTTTGCGTTCATCCATATACTGATAACTGTCATACAAGCTTCCAGATTTACTGAAATTGTATCCCAACTGTCCTGTGGTTTGATAACCATGTACATTTGTGTGTCAATGGCATATCAATAATAGCATTGCGAAGGCTATGGCGACGACAAATCTCTCCAATCGGTTTGGGGTACATACAATATTTCCGTGGTCCTAACACCGACCCGTGAGGAACCCCGAAATCTAGTACTTTGTCATGTGAGGTGGAAGATGCGATGGCAACACACTGTCCTTGTTCACTCAGATAAGACTGTATCCAGCATAGTGCGGTATCAGTCACTCCATAAGAGTACTTCAGACATTTATAAAGTATTCCATGGTCGATGACGTCAAATATAATGCAGCTGGCAAGTCCAGCATGTCAAGTACCGCTCTGCACTTGTCATCCAATGCAGAAGCTATATCATTATTTACACGTAGAAGGGCCGTCTAAGTAGAATGTCCCATGCGGTAGGCCGATTGCAGGTTGTCATGGAGACTGTTTACATGGAGATGAACTTCTAAACGCCGGGACACAACCTTCTCCAATATCTTAGACATAAAAGGCAGATTTGATACTGGGCGGTAGTTCTTCAACTCCTCCTTGTCCATTCCAGGCTTCTGCAACAATGCATGTACCTTCTTGAAACACAACGGAACCTTTGACTCAGCCAATGATTTGTTCATGATTGCGGTAATCAAAGGAAGCAGTGCTTTAAGACATTGCTTTAATGGATATGTAGGCAGTGGATCAAGCTTACATACTTCGATTGCGAGGTCATAATGATAAAATATATGCAATCTGCTGGTATTTTTAAGTTGCACAAATAGATCTCAGATCTCAGTCATATTTATTAGTTACTTACACAAGCCATTTTTTGTGTTATTTTATTATAAAATGTATGTGATAACAGTACTGTAACAGTCACGTTACACAGTCATGAAGACTGGATCGTTCCATGTGTGTTAGGTAAACATATGTAATAATGTGTTTATTCATACAGAAAAGACTTGCCGGGTTGATCCATGCGCAGAATATTCTCGCTGAGCGATTTGAATTAGTATCAATATTTGTTCACAATAACGAATAGTAAATGATCTGAAATAATCTTTCTAGACAGGAATGTTTCATCACCATCCGAGGTTTTGTCCTATCAACATTGATTTATACTAAGTATAAATGAAAGATTTACTGAAACTAAAGAAGGGAAAAAAGGACTAAGAAAGTAAGCTATTTATAATCGATGTCCTGATACAACGAACAGAAGTGTAAAGTATATTATTAGTGATAGTTGAATATGTCCTAGTGGCTGTCTATTGTCCAGATGCACTAAAGTCATCTACAAATAAGTTTTACCCGATGTTTAAACGTTTAGATGAACCTCGCGCAACAAAACCTAGTGGTGTCCACTCTAGGGCCATATGAAATGGATTTTGTATTTGCTTTAGTCTCCACAAAACAGTACATGTGTGTGTATATGTAATACACGATAACGAATGCGATAAAAGTGATGATTTGGATAAAAAGAATGTTAAGGGACGAAAGTGTCTACACTCTTACTATTGCGGCATCTTCACAAGTCCATTAGGAAGAAACAATCATTCAGTAAATATCATTTTCCGAAATGTATGTTGTATTATTTTGTTCTCTAATATGTTATTTGAGAAAGCATTTGATATTATATTCCCTATCTCGTTTTTAATATACAAGACCATCTAGATATCGTAACATCTACCTTGTTCCTACGACTTGCTATACTCTGAATCCTCCCGAACAGAAAAAAGAAGTAGAAAGCCGCCAGTCCCGCCAAACCTTTGAATACACCATCCATGTCGTGATCATCGGCAGTACCATGGGCCTGGCCATCGGAGGAGGACATCGCCTAACAAAAAGACAAAAGTTTGGGATATATTATCAAGAGGTTGTTTTACCGTGAAGGGAAAATGTATAAATATCGCAAAAATCAGACCGTATCAAGAAATCACTTTCTTGAAATAAAAAAAAACTTTCAAAAGGGCTTTATTCTGATAACAGCCACAAAGATGATCTGATTATTTTTAATCTACTGAGTAGAAATCTGTTGTGGTCGAAGTCAACTTAATGTGACAAAAGTAATGAAAATCATTTCAGTAACCGTACGTGAGGTATGAGATGAAGCATGGCGTCGCCTGTTAGAGCCCCAACTGCCATCGCCACCAGGAAATGGAGGAAGTTCTCCACAAACATGTGGTGCAGGAGAGACAGGACACCCACACAGAGCAAGCCCGACATACTGATTACCAAGATGGCACCACAGGCATATAACCAAGCTGTTAACAGTAAATTATACAAATATTACCACGTTGTTTATAGTAAATTATACAAATATTACCACGCTGTTTATAGTAAATTATACAAATATTACCCCGCTGTTTATAGTAAATTATACAAATATTTCCACGCTGTTTATAGTAAATTATACAAATATTACCCCGCTGTTTATAGTAAATTATACAAATATTACCCCGCTGTTTATAGTAAATTATACAAATATTACCACGTTGTTTATAGTAAATTATACAAATATTACCTCGCTCTTTATAGTAAATTATACAAATATAACACCGCTGTTTATAGTAAATTATACAAATATAACCACACTGTTAATAGTAAATTATACAAATATTACCACGATGTTTACAGTAAATTATACAAATATTACCACGCTGTTTACAGTAAGTCATACAAATATTACCACGCTGTTTATAGTAAATTATACAAATATTACCACGCTGTTTATAGTAAATTATACAAATATTACCCCGTTGTTTATAGTAAATTATATAAATATTACCACGTTATTTAGAGTAAATTAAACAAATATTACCACGCTCTTTATAGTAAATTATACAAATATTGGCACGTTGTTTATAGTAAATTATACAAATATTACCACGCTGTTTACAGTAAATTATACAAATAATACCACGTTGTTTATAGTAAATTATACAAATATTACCATGTTGTTTATAGTAAATTATACAAATATTACCCAGCCGTTTATAGCTTTAAATTTTAAATTATACAAATATTATCACGCTGTTTACGGTAAATTAAACAAATATTTCCACGCTGTTTATAGTAAACTATACAAATATTACCTCGCTCTTTATAGTAAATTATACAAATATTACACCGCTGTTTATAGTAAATTATACATATATTTCCACGCTGTTTATAGTAAACTATACAAATATTACCTTACTCTTTATAGTAAATTATACAAATATTACCACGCTGTTTATAGTAAATTATACAAATATTACCCCGTTGTTTATAGTAAATTATATAAATATTACCACGTTATTTAGAGTAAATTAAACAAATATTACCACGCTCTTTATAGTAAATTATACAAATATTGGCACGTTGTTTATAGTAAATTATACAAATATTACCACGCTGTTTACAGTAAATTATACAAATAATACCACGTTGTTTATAGTAAATTATACAAATATTACCATGTTGTTTATAGTAAATTATACAAATATTACCCAGCCGTTTATAGCTTTAAATTTTAAATTATACAAATATTATCACGCTGTTTACGGTAAATTATACCAATATTTCCACGCTGTTTATAGTAAACTATACAAATATTACCTCGCTCTTTACAGTAAATTATACAAATATTACCACGCTGTTTAACGTAAATTATACAATTATAACCACGCTGTTTATAGTAATTTATACAAAAATTACCACGCTGTTTATAGTAAATCATACAAATATTACCACGCTGTTTATGGTAAATTATACAAATATTACCACGTTGTTTATAGCAAATTATACAAATATTACCACGTTGTTTTATAGTGAATTATAAAAATATTTCCACGCTGTTTATCGAAAATTATACAAATATTACCACGCTGTTTATAGTAAATTATACAAATAGTACCACGTTGTTTATAGCAAATTATACAAATATTACCACGTTGTTTACAATAAATTATACAAATATTACCCCGCTGTTTATAGTAAATTATACAAATATTACCCCGCTGTTTATAGTAAATTAGACAAATATTTCCTCGCTGTTTACAGTAAATTATACAAATATTACCACGTTGTTTATAGTAAATTATACCAATATAATCACGTTGTTTATAGTAAATTATACAAATATTACCACGTTGTTTATAGTAAATTATACAAACATAACCACGTTGTTTATAGTAAATTATACAAATATTACCTCGCTCTTTATAGTAAATTTTACAAATATAACCCCGCTGTTTATAGTAAATTATACAAATATAACAACACTGTTTATAGTAAATTATACAAATATTACCTCGCTCTTTATAGTAAATTATACAAATATTACCTCGTTCTTTATAGTAAATTATACAAATGTTACCCCGCTGTTTATAATAAATTATACAAGTATTACCACACTGTTTACAATAAATTATACAAATATTACCACGTTGTTTATAGTAAATTATACAAATAGTACCACGTTGTTTATAGTGAATTATAAAAATATTTCCACGCTGTTTATCGAAAATTATACAAATATTACCACGCAGTTTATAGTAAATTATACAAATAATACCACGTTGTTTATAGTAAATTATACAAATAGTACCACGTTGGTTATAGTGAATTATAAAAATATTTCCACGCTGTTTATCGAAAATTATACAAATATTACCACGCTGTTTACAGTAAATTATACAAATATAACCACATTGTTTATAGTAAATTATACAAATATTACCACGCTGTTTATAGTAAATTATACAAATATTACCACGTTGTTTATAGTAAATTATACAAATATTACCACGCTATTTACAGTAAATTATACAAATATAACCACGCTCTTTATAGTAAATTATACACATATTACCACGTTGTTTATAGTAAATTATCCAAATATTACCACGTTGTTTATAGTAAATTATACAAATATTACCCCGCTTTTTACGGTAAATTATACAAATATAACCACGTTGTTTACAATAACTCATACAAATATTTCCCCGCTGTTTATAGTAAATTATACAAATATTACCACGTTGTTTATAATAAATAATACAAATATTACCACGTTGTTTACAGTAAATTATAAAAATATTACCACGTTGTTTGCAGTAAATTATACAAATATTAACAAGCTGTTTATAGTAAATTATATAAAAATTACCACGCTCTTTATTGTAAATTATACAAATATAACCACGCTGTTTATAGTAAATTATACAAATATTACCACGCTTTTTACGGTAAATTATACAAATATAACCACGTTGTTTACAATAAATTATACAAATATTACCCCGCTGTTTATAGTAAATTATACAAATATTACCTCGCTCTTTATAGTAAATTCTACAAATATTACCACGCTGTTAACAGTAAATTATACAAATATAACCACGCTGTTTACATTAAATTATACAAATATAACCACGTTGTTTATAGTAAATTATACAAATATTACACCGCTGTTTATAGTAAATTATACAAATATTACCACACTGTTTATAGTAAATTATGCAAATATTACCACGTTGTTTTAGTAAATTATACAAATATTACCACGCTATTTATAGTAAATTATACAAATATAACCAAAACTATACAAATATTTCCACGCTGTTTATAGTAAATTATACAAATATAACCACGCTGTTTATAGTAATTTATACAAAAATTACCACGCTGTTTATAGTAAATTATACAAATATAACCACGCTCTTTTTAGTAAATTATACAAATATTACCACGTTGTTTATAGTAAATTATACAAATATTACCTCGCTCTTTATAGTAAATTATACAAATATAACCACGCTGTTTATAGTAATTTATACAAAAATTACCACGCTGTTTATAGTAAATTATACAAATATTACCACACTGTTTATAGTAAATTATGCAAATATTACCACGTTGTTTTAGTAAATTATACAAATATTACCACGCTATTTATAGTAAATTATACAAATATAACCACGCTCTTTATAGTAAATTATACAAATATTACCACGCGTTTTACGGTAAATTATACAAATATAACCACGTTGTTTACAATAACTCATACAAATATTTCCCCGCTGTTTATAGTAAATTATACAAATATTACCCCGCTTTTTACGGTAAATTATACAAATATAACCACGTTGTTTACAATAAATTATACAAATATTACCCCGCTGTTTATAGTAAATTATACAAATATTACCCAGCTGTTTATAGTAAATTATACAAATATAACCACGCTCTTTATAGTAAATTATACAAATATTACAACGCTGTTAACAGTAAATTATACAAATATTTCCACGCTCTTTATAGTAAATTATACAAATATTACCACGCGTTTTACGGTAAATTATACAAATATAACCACGTTGTTTACAATAAATTATACAAATATTACCCCGCTGTTTATAGTAAATTATACAAATATTACCTCGCTCTTTATAGTAAATTATACAAATATAACCACGCTCTTTATAGTAAATTATACAAATATTACATCGCTATTTATAGTAAATTATACAAATATTACCACGCGTTTTACGGTAAATTATACAAATATAACCACGTTGTTTACAATAAATTATACAAATATTACCCCGCTGTTTATAGTAAATTATACAAATATTACCCAGCTGTTTATAGTAAATTATACAAAGATAACCACGCTCTTTATAGTAAATTATACAAATATTACAACGCTGTTAACAGTAAATTATACAAATATTTCCACGCTCTTTATAGTAAATTATGCAAATATTACATCGCTCTTTATAGTAAATTATACAAATATTACCACGCTTCTTACGGTAAATTATACAAATATAACCACGTTGTTTACAATAAATTATACAAATATTACCACGTTGTTTATAGTAAATTATACAAATATTACCTCGCTCTTTATAGTAAATTATACAAATATTACCACGCTGTTAACAGTAAATTATACAAATATTTCCACGCTCTTTATAGTAAATTATACAAATATTACATCGCTCTTTATAGTAAATTATACAAATATTACCACGCTGTTTACAGTAAATTATACAAATATTACCTCGCTCTTTATAGTAAATTATACAAATATTACCACGCTGTTAACAGTAAATTATACAAATATTACGACGTTGTTTATAGTAAATTATACAAATATTTCCACGTTGTTTACAGTAAATTATAAATATATTACCCAGCTGTTAACAGTAAATTATAAAATATAACCACATTGTTTATAGTAAATTATACAAATATTACCACGCTGTTAACAGTAAATTATACAAATATTACCACGCTGTTTATAGTAAATTATAAAAATATTACCCAGCTGTTTATAGAAAATTATACAAATATAACCACGCTGTTTATAGTAAATTATAAAAATATTACCCAGCCGTTTATAGTAAATTATACAAATATTACCACGCTGTTTACACCAAATTATAAAAATATTACCCAGCTGTTAACAGTAAATTATACAAATATAACCACGTTGTTTATAGTAAATTATAAAAATATTACCACGCTGTTTATAGTAAATTATACAAATATTACCACGCTGTTAACAGTAAATTATACAAATATTAACAAGCTGTTTATAGTAACTTATACAAATATAACCACGCTGTTTATAGTAAGTTATACAAATATAACCACGCTGTTTATAGTAAATTATGCAAATATAACCCCGCTGTTTATAGTAAATTATACAAATATTTCCACGCTGTTTATAGTAAATTATACAAATATAACCACGCTGTTTATAGTAAATTATACAAATATAAACACGCTGTTTATAGTAAATTATGCAAATATAACCACGCTGTTTATAGTAAATTATACAAATATAACCAAGCTGTTTATAGTAAATTATACAAATATAACCACGCTGTTTATAGGAAATTATACAAATATTACCCAGCTGTTAACAGTAAATTTTACAAATATTACCACGTTGTTTATAGTAAATTATAAAAATGTTACCCAGCTGTTTATAGTAAATTATAAAAATATTACCTCGCTCTTTATAGTAAATTATACAAATATTACCACGCTGTTTATAGTAAATTATACAAATATTACCCAGCTGTTTACAATAAATTATACAAATATTACCACGCTGTTAAAAGTAAATTATACAAATATTAGCACGTTGTTTATAGGAAATTATACAAATATTACCACGCTGTTTATAGTAAATTATACAAATATTTCCACGGTGTTTATAGTAAATTATACAAATATAACCACGCTGTTTATAGTAAATTATATAAATATAACCAAGCTGTTTATAGTAAAATATACAAATATTACCCAGCTGTTTACAGTAAATTATACAAATATTAACAAGCTGTTTATAGTAAATTATACAAATATAACCACGCTGTTTATAGTAAAGTATACAAATGTTGCCACGCCGTTAACAGTAAATTATACAAATATTAGCACGCTGTTTATAGTAAATTATACAAATATAACCAAGCTGTTTATAGTAAATTATACAAATGTTACCACGCCGTTAACAGTAAATTATACAAATATTAGCACGTTGTTTATAGTAAATTATACAAATATTACCACGCTATTTATAGTAAATTATACAAATATAACCAAAACTATACAAATATTTCCACGCTGTTTATAGTAAATTATACAAATATTACCACGTTGTTTATAGTAAATTATACAAATATAACCAAGCTGTTTATAGTAAATTATACAAATGTTACCACGCCGTTAACAGTAAATTATACAAATATTAGCACGCTGTTTATAGTAAATTATACAAATATAACCAAAACTATACAAATATTTCCACGTTGTTTATAGTAAATTATACAAATATAACCACGCTGTTTATAGTAAATTATACAAATATTACCCAGCTGTTTATAGTATATTATACAAATATTACCACGCCGTTAACAGTAAATTATACAAATATAACCTCGCTGTTTACAGTAAATTATACAAATATTACCCAGCTGTTAACAGTAAATTTTACAAATATTACCACGTTGTTTATAGTAAATTATAAAAATGTTACCCAGCTGTTTATAGTAAATTATACAAATATTACCACGCTGTTAACAGTAAATTATACAAATATAACCACGCTGTTTACAGTAAATTATACAAATATTACCCAGCTGTTAACAGTAAATTTTACAAATATTACCACGCTGTTTATAGTAAATTATAAAAATGTTACCCAGCTGTTTATAGTAAATTATACAAATATTACCACGCTGTTTACAGTAAATTATACAAATATTACCACGCTGTTAACAGTAAATTATACAAATATTACCCAGCTGTTAACAGTAAATTTTACAAATATTACCACGTTGTTTATAGTAAATTTTAAAAATATTACCCAGCTGTTTATAGTAAATTATACAAATATTACCACGCTGTTAACAGTAAATTATACAAATATAACCACGCTGTTTACAGTAAATTATACAAATATTACCCAGCTGTTAACAGTAAATTTTACAAATATTACCACGTTGTTTATAGTAAATTATAAAAATATTACCCAGCTGTTTATAGTAAATTATACAAATATTACCACGCTGTTAACAGTAAATTATACAAATATAACCACGCTGTTTACAGTAAATTATACAAATATTACCACGCTGTTAACAGTAAATTATACAAATATTACCCAGCTGTTAACAGTAAATTTTACAAATATTACCACGTTGTTTATAGTAAATTTTAAAAATATTACCCAGCTGTTTATAGTAAATTATACAAATATTACCACGCTGTTAACAGTAAATTATACAAATATTACCACGCCGTTAACAGTAAATTATACAAATATTACCACGTTGTTTATAGTAAATAAAACAAATATTACCACGTTGTTTATAGAAAATTATACAAATTTTACCACCCTATTTATAGTAAATTATACAAATATAACCAAAACTATACAAATATTTCCACGCTGTTTATAGTAAATTATACAAATATTACCACGATGTTTGTAGTAAATTATACAAATTTTACCACGCTATTTATAGTAAATTATACAAATATAACCAAAACTATACAAATATTTCCACGCTGTTTATAACCCCTGGATATCGAGGATGTCGGTTATGGAAATATAACCCCTCTCTCAATAGTCTAGTCTAGCCTTGCTGTAAATAGGGAAACATAGGCATAGCTTAGGTTTAATGTTCTAATGTCCCTGAATATTAACGGTTGTATCTTCAGTAGCTCTTTGTCTGGCTTGTAACTATCACCACCTGCAAGTTGCTATCAAATATACATTCGCACCTAATCAAGGCCATACTAGATCAATCCTCCATGACACTTTATTTGTTATTAATTGGGGTTTTTTATTAGATATTTTCGTCTTTAATTGCTGTATTTTTCATTAAGAAAAAAATGATGATGTTGATTACTCTTTAGAAAATTGGAGTAGGAAATTGCAGTTTAACTAGCATCTTATTTGTTAAAAACAAAATGACAACAATACGAAAGTTAATTGTTGGCACATTTGAATTGGGAAAAACCGCGAATAAACCACAACTGAAGTTATTGTGCTTACATTAATTTCATTCTGAGAGTAAAATATTCATAATATTTCCTTTGCATAGAATAGCCTGTGTTTCGACATTTCGTAATAATTGTAATCGAAGGAGATTGGGAAATTAAATGATCGCCAGATAAAGTTCTTGAATGATTTTCCACTAGCTTGTAGATTGCTACAGCGACTTTGACTGTGTCGGTATTATCGTAGTCCTTTGATCAGTGTGCGATTGCCGCGATTGGTATTCTCTGCTGCATACTATTAGATACATAGGCATAGCGTTGCATTACAACAGTAACCTTGTCACATGTCCTCGCTAGGTGTCCTCGTGTTTGATATGCTAGAGAACGTAATACATAGAGTACGGTCTGCATTTACGATGTACAGGTTTATGTAATGTTCGGAATAACTGCAGATTGTTATTTTGTGTTCAATATCATTGAGCATAATATTGGGAAACAAGACTGATCATTTACTCACTTTCAGTTGTAACTGTAGTTTCAGGTGAGTTTTCTGAATGTCCGTGCTCGTGCCCGTGCGTACGACTATGATGACGTAAATGGTCGCAACTGTGTCCATCTATTTGTGCAATGAGCAGTGGACATAACTCTTTGAATTGGGTTTTCGACAGCCCCTTGTCAGTAAACCTTAGAAGGCGTAGTATATCCAGTGGTCTCAAACACTGCATGACATAAACATAATAACATCGTTTTATATTATACATCCATTGGCATGCAGTAGGGTTGAAACGAAAATGGATCACCTAGAGAGAGTACATACACTACTCGTCTTGTGACAAACACAACAAAACACGAAAACAAAGAGCAAATTAGTTAAACACCCGTCCTCATCCGAAAGATAAGTGTTATGCATGTTTTAATAATAATAAAAGATTTAGATTAAGGTCTCCATGGCTGTGAGGATATTTTCTTTCGAAATGTCAAAACATGATTAGCAACTGAACGAGAAGGGCATTACGTAAAACTTCTTGACAATTGCGCCATATTAATGCAATGACCGTGTTGACCCTCTATGACTGGTGTAATGTCGATCTCCATGACAACGTCTACGTCACTTTGGGGAGTGAACAAAGACATCACGTTAGTAAGACTGCATCCTGGACATCGACATTATAGAGAAATATTGACTGCATCCTGGACATGGACATTAAAGAGAGGTATTGACTGCATCCAGGACATGTACATTATAATAGTGTAACCGGATACAATGTTACGATCGCGTCTTCTATCTGTATTACGGTCTTTACCAGATAATTCTACTAAAGCTATTCCTGGTGATGATTCAAGCTTGAAGACTTTATAAAATCATTGAGGATGTTTCACAGTTTCTAGACTCTATAAGCCTGTTCGAACTGATATTCACGACTCTCCGGTAACGAATGATTTGATGAAAAGGGTTAGGGTTAGGATGGGTTAGGGTTAAGACCTTTCCATAGATATGAAGAGTATTTGATTCTACCATTTCTGGATCTTGAGAAGCAGATTGTTGAAATTTTAGTCAATTTGACCCTTTTTAGCCAAACCCATCAGCCCCTGGGATTCTGTCAGGGCTGATTTGTGCATATCATCAAACTGATATCCAAAACTGATAATGCTAACCTAGTTTGAACTAATTCCAATGGAAATTTAACAAATGCTGGTCCAAAATGTGATATCCCTATATAAACTATAGTAAAGTTTATCCTCTCTCGAGGGATAAACGTGAGACCCAAGGGTCATGAAATTCACTATTTTGGTAAAGCACCTTAAGACCCTTCCACCTATGAAGAGTATTAGATTCTTCCATAACTGGGTCTTGAGAAGAAGATTTTTGAAATTTTAATCAATTTGACCCTTTTTAGCCAAACCCATCAGCCCCTGGGAGTCTGTCAGGGCTGATTTGTGCATATCATCAAACTGCTATCCAAAACTGATAATGCTAACCTAGTTTGAACTAATTCCAATGGTAATTAAACAAATGCTGGTCCAAAATGTGATATCCCTATATAAACTATAGAAAAGTTTACCCCCTCCCCAGGGGTAAACGTGAGACCCCAGGGTCATGACATTCACTATTTTGGTAAAGCACCTGAAGACCCTCCATCGATGAAGAGTATTTGATTCTACCATATCTGGGTCTTGAGAAGAAGATTGTTGAAATTTTAGTCAATTTGACCCTTTTTGGCCCACCCATCAGCCCCTGGGGGTCATTCAGTGCTGATTTGTGCATGTCATCAAACTGCTATCCAATACTGATAATGCTAACCAAGTTTGAATTAATTCAAATGGTAATTAAACAAATGCTGGTCCAAAAAGTGATTTCCCTATATAAACCTAAGTAAAGTTTACCCCCTCCCTAGGGATAAACGTGATACCCCAGGGTCATGAAATTCACTATTTTGGTAAAGCACCTTAAGACCCTTCCATCTATGAAGAGTATTTGATTCAACCATATCTGGATCTTGAGAAGAAGATTTTTATGTCAATTTGACCCTTTCTTGTCCCGCCCCTCAGGCCCCTGGAGGCTGGGGATCATATAATTCACCATTTTGGTTGACCTTTGGCCATGAAAGGTGTCTGCAAAGTTTCATTGAAATTGGTTCAGGGGTTTTGGAGAAAAAATCGAATATGTAAATTGTTTACGGAGACACGACGCACGACGCACAACGCCGTACAAAAGGCGATCGCAATAGGTCACTTGAGACTTTGTCTCAGGTGACCTAAAAATACTAAACGCTTTTACTAGATTGCACTCATTTGTTTATCTATTTTCACATGACTTTGCTGTGTGGAATGATACTGGTACTACGTGCTGTCCACCAGCATTATTTGCCTGTTTTTGTAAAAACAAAACGACATGCAATTATCAATATATATATAGATATATTATAAAAAGATAAATGCTCAACAACGAGTGGTCTGAGGAATCTCCTAGAAGAGATGAAAGTACTAAAGACTCGTTGTTGAGAATTTTTCTTTTTATAATATTTCTTCGTCCGTAAGGATCATTTTTATGATTTCTGATATATACATATACATATATATATGTCTCATTAGTTATAACGACAGTATGATCCAATATTGGCACTAATATTTCTCCTCTGTCTCTACTTCTGACAAAACTGACCTTGAGATTCCTCCTAATTGTCCTATCTCACAATAACAATTATCTTCCATTATTATCACTGAACAGGATGTTCATGACCAGCTCAAACTTATTAATGTGAAAAAAAACTGCTGGTCCAGATGTACTTCCCCCTTATTCTATTAAAGGTATTGCTGACTCTCTTGTAAAGCCCTTGCTGTTAATGTTTAACAAATCCATATCCACTGGTTGCATACCTAATATTTGGCAGTGTGCTAATGTTACCCCAATATAAAAGGGCAAGGGAGGAGGAGGTGGACCCAGTGACTATAGACCAATCACTGTCACATCATTATTAAGTAATCTTCTTGAAAAAATAGTTTCTAAACATCGCTTTAATTTTCTATCTGAGAATAATGTTATCTCAAAAAATCAGTCTGGCTTCCTTCCCAGTTAACCAATAAATATATTTATATGATGAAGCTTCAAAAAAAACTTGATCAAGGAGAAGAGGCAAGGATAGTATTTTGTGACATCAGCAAAGCTTTTGACAGGGTTTGGCACAGTGGATTGATTTACAAATTGAAGAAATATGGAACTTGTGACGACGTTTTGAACTTGATTCATTGCTATCTTACTGATAGACAACAAAGGGTATTAATAGATGGCTACAAGTCAAATTTGTAAACATTAAAAACTGGTGTACCCCAAGGCTCGGTTCTCGGGCCTTATTTATTTTTAATATTTATTAATGACCTAGAAGATGAACTCCACTCCCATGTAAAACTCTTTGCTGATGACACTTCTCTTTACGTTTTGACAGATAGTGATGGCAGACATGCTGCAGATATTCTTAAGGAGGATTTAAGGAGAATATCGCTCTGGACTGATAAATGGGGAATATCATTTAATCCAAATAAAACTGAATCATTACTAATGTCGAATAAAAATAATTCTGAGACATCTCATCCAGATTTGATATTCTCAAATAGTGTCGTTATAAATGTCAAAAATCATAAACATCTTGGTTTGCTTTATAAAAGTCATGGATCATGGTCTGATCAAGTTAAATATATATATGGAAAAAGCTGTACAAAACTACAAATAATGCGAATGCTCAAACACAAGCTAGATAGAAAATCTCTTGAAATAATTTATAAATCTTTTATAAGACCAACACTTGAATATGCTAGGGCTGTGTGGAATAATTGCACCCAGGGTGAAAGTGACTTATTTGAATCAGTCCAATTAGAATGTCTCAGAATTATATCAGGTTTGAGAAGAGGTACAAGACATAACTTGATATATAAGGAAGTTGGTGTAGATAAACTAAAAATAAGACGTGATAATTACCAATGTATGTTATTTTTCAAGATACTGCAGCACGACTGTTTTGACCATCTTTATGATCGAATTTTACCATATTTTAATAATGATATTAATCCTCGCCTTAGACATCATAGAAACTTTATTGTTACCCTGTGCAGAACCAACTTGAATAAAAGCAGTGTTTTTTTTCCTAGAATAATGTCTCTATGGAATAGGCCAGACTGTATTTTTCCAAAACTCACTTCATTGAGCAAGTTAAAACTGGAATTACTTAAGGAAAGTACACACGTTTTGCAACCATCTAACTGTACATATATTTTTAAATACGGTGGCTACAGGAAGTTGAATATAACATTATGTCAACTACGGAATAAAGTCAGTCAATTAAAATCAGATTTATATAATGATCATCTTACAGATAACCCTAAGTGTGACTGTGGTTATATTATTGAAGATGCAAATAACTTCTTCCTCAATTGCCCCAAATATATAGATGAAAGACAAGTTTTATTCTATGCGTAATCTAGTTATAACCAAATTGATAATATCATCTTAAAAACTGTTACTTTCACTAAGGGTGATATGAACCATAGCAGTGAATCAAATAAATTTATTCTCTCATGTGTTCTGGAGTTTTATTGAAAAATCTGGAAGATTTTAACCTAAACTATACTAAAAATTATCTTACAATGTGTTTGTATTTGCTATTTTATAACAATAACTCTGGTGTAATTGGGAAGGATGGCACTGTGTATAGTGACAGTGTCTTTGAAGTGCCTCCAACCAAACACTAGGCTATAATGCTAATTGAAGTAAATAGACTATAGTAATTGAAATGTTAAAATCTATGATATTTTAGTTCTGTGAACATGTATTAAATGGTTCTAGTATTCTCCTATTAATTTGAACATATACTACATCTTCTATATAATGCTCTCTCTATATATATATGTATATATGAATGTATGAAATGTGTGTATTTTCTCTGGAAAGGGCTTTTATAGGCAATGCCTGTGCCTAATCCAATTGTGTTTTTAATACAATAAAATTGATTTGAAATGAAATGAAATATTGGCACTAGATCCGAACAAACAAATGTTGGTTGGATGCGTATTACTTAAATAGATCTATGGGCAAAGTAATAGCGACAGTACAGACAAAGAAATGTGTCAAACTTTCAGGCCAATCTGCCCCTTTATCAGACAGGAACATGGAAATTTACATATCACAACGTAAAACACAGGCAATCATCAGGAAACAATAATACAATACCAAATACATAGAAAAATACATGCTGTTGCCATTGCATATATCCCCTCGGTTCGCCTGTAAACCTAATTATAGTAAATATGTCCTCGTGAATACGTGAGGTTAAGGATATACACCTCGGAGAAGTCAAAAAATTCGTGTATTAAACTTTTTTTCTTATATGGATTTTTGGAAAAAGGAGTTAATAGCATAGTAAAAAATGCAACAATCTTTTGGGTTTTGACCATTTGCAGAACAAATTCATACAATTTCTTCCAAGCGTGTTATCACATATGTATGAATGTTTGTAGAATTGATGAAAATATCATTTTATATTAAATTATGGAAGTACAATTTCTTTATCTTATTCTTTTAAATCAGAAAGTCGATTTTAGTTACCCCCAACCCCCTATTTTTGAATGAAAAAATACTCGTTTTTTACCATTTTTTGCAGATTAAACGCTTGACATAAAAAGTTCTGCTATTAAACTTGTTTTTAATATTTAATGAATTAAAAGAAATTGTGTTTCTCTTTCTAAAACATCAACAAAAATTGGGGGTCCGTGTGCTTTTTTGTCCCATTATCATTTGTGTTAGTTTTTACCTTTTTCGGGGTCAAAAATCAAAAGTGTTTCAGTTACGCTAAATATGTTAAAAAAAATATCAATAATGTATATTTTCCAGTTTATTGCATATTATTTTTATCATATTAAACATTATAAAATTGTACAGCAAAATTGAACCTGCGACAATTAAAAATTGCGACACAATGACAATTTAAGTGATCAATCTAGTGGCAAAAAGGGTGAATTTTAAATAAACATTTTCAAAATGGCCGCCGAATTGTATTTTTTTTAAATTCTTGTAAATAAAGTTCTACGAACAACAGGCATCTAGTTTTTGACATATTTTTCAGATGCGTGTTTGCTAACAAACTTGATAATAATTTGTTAAATATTACAAAAACTCGTTACACCAGATCAAAACGAGACTTGAACGTGATTGAAACCTAAGAAGAGAACATCCTTAAGTGAATTTATTCTACAAAAAAAAAAAAAAAAATCATGAATGGTCATTATTGTCACATTGACTTCTACACTCCCTTTTGAATAGGATACGGACTGTTGTAAGAACATGAACACTCAGTAACAAAAGACTTCCTCATTAGCATGCTTAGCAGTGGTCGTGCATCAGTAGGGCAGTACATTTGAAGGAGATTACGTATAATGTATATGAACGGCACGCATTTAACCTAGATTGTAGATAGCATGTTCTTTGAGAACGGCATTTCAATAAAGTAACTAAAGCATTATAACATCCATATCATGTTTGGTATTCGGGTATATACGTAGAAGCGCATGAGCCCTCGACTGATATTACCGATGTTTATATCTTTACAACGTAATTTATAACGTTAATATGGCAAGGTGACATTTGACAGCATCCACTGCTGCACCTGTCGTGACGTAAACTACGGCTACTGACAAATACAGGTGCAGGCCCTCAATCATCTAGGATTTAAAGAACATGTCTTGAATAATAAAAATGCTCTAAAATATCAAAGACAAAAAATAGGTTATTTCCATGACAACCGTGGAATACCATTAACATTTATTCAGGTAAATCTGGCTGAACAAGGAATGAAGCTGTTAATCAGATATCTGATATTAAGAAATACGTGTGTGTAATACCAAAAACAGACTCAGAAATACGTGTATAAAATACCTAAAACAGAAATACGTGTATATAATACCTAAAACAGAAATATGTGGATATAATACCTAAAACTGACTCTAGAGAAGCTCATTCAGGGACAGTTAGCTATCGTGGTGTTTACGTCGTCCCGTATTTTCAAAGAACATGATAGAAAGGTCCATATGTAGATTAAAGGAACTGACGAAGAATCATGTAAGAAAAGTATCCGCTTCAAATTCTTCCCGTTTTTCCATATGTCTTCGACTACATCAGTGAAATAATGAAAACAAGTTGTTAATGATTGACATGTCGCGCTGATGGTACATGTAACATGGGCTCTAGTGTGACAGGTACGAACCATAACGTCACACAAACAAACCAACGTTACTTAAATCAACCGTAACTATATATAGTGTGACTGGTACGAACCATTGGGGAAATGTCACAAAAACAAACAAACGTTACTTAAATCACTCGTAACTAGTGTGACTGGTACGAACCATAGGGGAAACGTCACACAAACAAACAAACGTTACTTAAATCACTCGTAAGTAGTGTGACTGGTACGAACCATAGGGGAAACGTCACACAAATAAACCAACGTTACTTAAAGCACCCGTAACTAGTGTGACTGGTACGAACCATTGGGGAAACGTCACACAAACAAACCAACGTTACTTAAATCACCCGTAACTAGTGTGACTGACATTATATGAAAAACAAAGAAAGTGGAGTGTTCCTAGGTCATGTAACATGAATAGCTGCAACAAATGCTTCATTTTAACCGAACAACTTTAATTAAACGGGTTTTACGATGGCTATTCTGTAGTGTTTTCTGTATCGGTATTTTCGACTATTTAGCAGTCTACCTTCACCGAAGAACGACCGACTAAAAGCAAGTTTTAAATCAACTGTGAAGGTTAATATGAATTGTAAATAAAAGAACGTAATTGATGCAATAGTTTGTTCTTAATTTGGTGATTTTTACTTCGGTCAAACTGGCAATGAACTCACGCATAACTGTACATAGACAACAAACTAGAACTGAATCTTTAAGAAATCTACATGTTACAAACATTCATGAAAGTGTCAGAGATAGATTCAGTATATTACCTTTATATCAAATACATTCATCCGACACTATTCTAAGAGAAAAGAAAGAAGACCAATTGTTTAAAATATTAAAACCAAGTCTCATCAGGCCACAGTATAATTTTGCGCTAGTTTTTTCCACCAATCTTGTGTACTTCTTGACATCAAGTTACTACTGCAGTGTGCTATGACATGTAATTGTGACGTCAGGATGTTGTCCTTTTGAAAGAAAGAAGCTTGTTTAGACGTCGTTAGATCTTATTTTTTCTATATTTACTTACTTCACGTGGACATCTAATCCTTTTTTTTATTATAAATATATATATAAATATAAAGGATCTCTGGTGTACGTTATACTTATATGTATTCTTTCCAGTCCCTGATTAGCAAAATAGATCTAGTCACACTTAATATGTCTACAACAGTACATTCGTGAGTCTGTAAATTACACAATAGTTTAGATATTAATTGAATACAAGTACAGAGTGCAAACACACTCGGCTTACCTTTAGGAATAACTCTTCTGGCAAAGTTCGAACCTGTTGTTCGCCTAAATCTCTTCTGCTGCGTTCACTACCAGTGTCGTCAGGCTTTCGTGAGAAATCCTCGGTAACATGACGCAAAATATCGTGTGCTGGTGGATCGTGATTATCTGTGGGATCATGATTATCTGGGTGATCGTGATTATCTGGGTGATCGTGATTATCTGGGTGATCGTGATTATCTGGGTGATCGTGATTATCTGGGTGATCGTGATTATCTGTGTGATCGTGATTATCTGGGTGATCGTGATCGTCTGTTTGATCATAATCGAGTGTGTGATCGTGATCGGATGTGTAGTCATGATCGGATATTTGATTATGAACGTCTGTATGTTTATGAACGTCTGTGTGGTAGGGGTCATTTTTGGGATCGTGACCGGCTCTGTGTTTATGCTCGTTTGTCTGATCTCGATCGTCTGTCTTATCATGCTTGTCGATCGGTTCAGTTTGCAAAGGATGCATGTGGTTCTTGTGGAACTCCTTGAACTTTGCCGATTCGTTATTGACGTGAGTGTTTAAATGGTGGCCAATATGAATTACACCAAGACTCAAACTTTCCAATAAATGTTCGTAGCCCTCGAATGATAGAACGGTGTCTGTGGAATATTTCTCAAATATGTAATCTATCACCGTTTCAACAGTTACATTTCTGTCACTTCCAAACTTAGGAACTTCCAGTGTTGGTACATGTGCAGAGGAGGCTGTGATACAAGGTAACATCACTAGCAGAATAACAACGAGCATATCCAGGTGTTGCGCCATTCTCCGTCAATCCTAGAAAAGGAAAAGGTGTTTCCTCGTTAGTTTGTGCAAGACAACATAAGTGAAACAAGTAAAATCATTTTGTGTTTAAATAGGAAAACCTGAATCAGTGTGTTTTCAAATCATTTTTTCTGCACGCTGAAACTTACAGAATATAAAAAAACGGCTACTAAATAGATAGGTAAATGGGCGATGACTGCAATATTTTATATTGTGAAGAGAGAGAGTACAAAACTGTATTAGATTGTTGCGTAATGTCTGTAGGTAACATGTAATGTCTGTAGGTAACAGGTAAGGTATGTAGGTAACAGGTAATGTTTGTACGCAACAGGTAATGTCTGTAGGTAACAGGTAATGTCTGTTGGTAACAGGTAAGGTCTGTAGGTAACAGGTAAGGTATGTAGGTAACAGGTAAGGTCTGTAGGTAACAAGGAAGGTATGTAGGTAACAGGTAATGTCTGTAGGTAACAGGTAACGTCTGTAGGTAACATGTAACGTCTGTAGGTAACAGGTCATGTATGTAGATAACAGGTAAGGTATGTAGGTAACAGGTAAGGTCTGTAGGTAACAAGGAAGGTATGTAGGTAACAGGTAATGTCTGCAGGTAACAGGTAATGTCTGTAGGCAACAGGTAATGTCTGTTGGTAACAGGTAAGGTATGTAGGTAACAGGTAAGGTCTGTGGGTAACAAGGAAGGTATGTAGGTAACAGGTAATGTCTGTAGGGAACAGGTAATGTCTGTAGGCAACAGGTAATGTCTGTTGGTAACAGGTAAGGTATGTAGGTAACAGGTAAGGTCTGTGGGTAACAAGGAAGGTATGTAGGTAACAGGTAATGTCTGCAGGTAACAGGTAATGTCTGTAGGCAACAGGTAATGTCTGTAGGTAACAGGTCGTCTGTAAGTAACAGGTAATGTCTGTAGGTAACAGCTAAGGTCTGTAGGAAACAGGTAAAGTCTGTAGGTAACAGGTAATGTCTGTAGGTAACAGGGAATGTCTGTAGGCAACAGGTAATGTCTGTAGGTAACAGGTAATGTATGTAGGTAACAGGTCATGTATGTAGGGAACAGGTAAGGTATGTAGGTAACAGGTAAGGTATGTAGGCAACAGGTAAGATATGTAGATAACAGGTAATGTATGTAGGTAACAGGCAAAGTATGTAGGTAACAGGTAAGGTATGTAGGTAACAGGAAAAGTCTGTAGGTAACAAGGAAGGTATGTAGGTAACAGGGAATGTCTGTAGGTAACAGGTAATGTCTGTAGGCAACAGGTATTGTCTGTAGGTAACAGGTAAGGTATGTAGGTAACAGGTAATGTTTGTACGCAACAGGTAATGTCTGTAGGTAACGGGTAATGTCTGTTGGTAACAGGTAAGGTCTGTAGGTAACAGGTAATGTATGTAGGTAACAGGTAATGTCTGTAGGTAACAAGGAAGGTATGTAGGTAACAGGTAATGTCTGTAGGTAACAGGTAATGTCTGTAGGTAACAGGTAATGTCTGTAGGTAACAGCTAATGTCTGTAGGTAACAGGTAACGTCTGTAGGTAACATGTAACGTCTGTAGGTAACAGGTCATGTATGTAGATAACAGGTAAGGTATGTAGGTAACAGGTAAGGTCTGTGGGTAACAAGGAAGGTATGTAGGTAACAGGTAATATCTGTAGGTAACAGGTAATGTCTGTAGGCAACAGGCAATGTCTGTAGGTAACAGGTAAGGTATGTAGGTAACAGGAAAAGTCTGTAGGTAACAAGGAAGGTATGTAGGTAACAGGTAATGTATGTAGGTAACAGGTAAGGTATGTAGGTAACAGGTAAGGTCTGTAGGTAACAAGGAAGGTATGTAGGTAACAGGTAATGTCTGTAGGTAACAGGTAATGTCTGTAGGCAACAGGTAATGTCTGTAGGTAACAGGTAAGGTATGTAGGTAACAGGTAAGGTCTGTAGGTAACAGGTAATGTATGTAGGTAACAGGTAATGTCTGTAGGTAACAGGTAAGGTCTGTAGGTAACAGGTAAGGTATGTAGGTAACAGGTAAGGTCTGTAGGTAACAGGTAATGTATGTAGGTAACAGGTAATGTCTGTAGGTAACAGGTAAGGTCTGTAGGTAACAGGTAAGGTATGTAGGTAACAGGTAAGGTCTGTAGGTAACAGGTAATGTATGTAGGTAACAGGTAATGTCTGTAGGTAACAGGTAAGGTCTGTAGGTAACAGGTAAGGTATGTAGGTAACAGGTAAGGTCTGTAGGTAACAGGTAATGTATGTAGGTAACAGGTAATGTCTGTAGGTAACAGGTAAGGTCTGTAGGTAACAGGTAAGGTATGTAGGTAACAGGTAAGGTCTGTAGGTAACAGGTAATGTATGTAGGTAACAGGTAATGTCTGTAGGTAACAGGTAAGGTCTGTAGGTAACAGGTAATGTATGTAGGTAACAGGTCATGTATGTAGGTAGCAGGTAAGGTCTGTAGGTAACAGGTAAGGTCTGTAGGTAGCAGGTAATGTATGTAGGTAACAGGTAAGGTCTGTCGGTAACAGGTAATGTCTGCAGGTAGCAGGTAAGGTCTGTAGGTAACAGGTAAGGTCTGTAGGTAACAGGTCATGTATGTAGGTAACAGGTAATGTTTGTCGGTAACAGGTAAGGTCTGTAGGTAACAGGTAATGTATGTAGGTAACAGGTAATGTCTGTAGGTAACAGGTAAGGTCTGTAGGTAACAGGTAAGGTATGTAGGTAACAGGTAAGGTATGTAGGTAACAGGTAAGGTCTGTAGATAACAGGTAAGGTCTGTAGATAACAGGTAAGGTCTGTAGGTAACATGTAATGTATGTAGGTAACAGGTAAGGTCTGTAGGTAACATGTAATGTATGTAGGTAACAGGTAAGGTCTGTAGATAACAGGTAATGTATGTAGATAACAGGTAATGTCTGTAGGTAACATGTAATGTATGTAGGTAACAGGTAAGGTCTGTAGGTAACAGGTAAGGTATGTAGGTAACAGGTAATGTCTGTAGGTAACAGGTAAGGTCTGTAGGTAACAGGTAAGGTCTGTAGGTAACAGGTAAGGTCTGTAGGTAACAGGTTATGTATGTAGGTAACAGGTAAGGTCTCTAGGTAACAGGTAAGGTCGCCTTTTGACGGACCAAGGGTATTGCATTGTTTGATCAGGGTTGTACGTTAGGTGATATAATGACGGACCACGGCATTGACTTATTTTATCACGGTTGTGATCAAACAATACTATACCCAGATCCGCCGTTATATGCATACGATCATATATGATACAAGTATACGAAACATGTACAATAGGGTTATACGGTTTAACGAATGTCGAATACCGATATACCCTGGTATTGAATAGATTGACCAGGGTTTAATGAACTAATTAAGATCATATAAAGACAGACTTTGAAAAAATGGTTGCACTATTCACTATGAGGTCGTATAATGTTAGACCTAAGTATTGCATAAAAATTGACCTGGGAAGTACTATCAAATAATGTCATAATGACAGACCTAGGAATTACATATATTGACCATTGAGGTACGTATCAAATTACGTCATAATGACCGACCTAGGAATTAAATATATTGACCATTGAGGTACGTATCAAATAATGTCATAATGACAGACCTAGGAATTACATATATTGACCATTGAGGTACGTATCAAATTACGTCATAATAACCGACCTAGGAATTGAATATATTGACCATTGAGGTACGTATCAAATTACGTCATAATAACCGACCTAGGAATTGAATATATTGACCATTGAGGTACGTATCAAATAATGTCATAATATCAGACCTAGGAATTGAATATATTGACCATTGAGGTACGTATCAAATTATGTCATAATGACAGACCTAGGAATTAAATATATTGATCATTGAGGTACGTATCAAATAATGTCATAATATCAGACCTAGGAATTGAATATATTGACCATTGAGGTACGTATCAAATAATGTCATAATGACAGACCTAGGAATAGAATATATTGAACATGGAATATAGGTATTAAATAATGTCATAACGACAGACCTAGGAATTAAATATATTGAACAAGGAAAATACGTATCAAATTATGTCATAATGACAGACCTAGGAATTTAATATATTAACCATTGAGGTACGTATCAAATAATGTCATAATGACAAACCTAGGAATTAAATATATTAAACAAGGGTATTTATTAGATTGACAGAGAGGTATGTTTGTACTGTTACAACGACAGACCTAGGTATTCATTAGATTGACCAGGGTGGTATGTATGTAATGTAAGAACGACAGACCTTGGTATTTATTAGATTGACCAGGGAGCTATGTATGTACTGTTACAACGACAGACCTAGGTATTTATTAGATTGACCAGGGAGCTATGTATGTACTGTTATAACGACAGCCCTAAGTATTTATTAGATTGACCAGGGAGGTATGTATGTACTGTTATAACGACAGCCCTAAGTATTTATTAGATTGACCAGGGAGGTATGTATGTACTGTAATATCGACAGACCTAGGTATTTATTAGATTGACCAGGGAGCTATGTATGTACTGTTATAACGACAGACCTAGGTATTTATTAGATTGACCGGGGTGGTATGCATGTATGTACTGATATAATCACAGACCTAGGTATTTATTAGATTGACCGGGGAGGTATGTATGTCCTGTTATAACGACAGACCCCTGTATTTATTAGATTGACCAGGGAGGTATGTATGCACTGTTACAACGACAGACCTAGGTATTCATTAGATTGACCAGGGTGGTATGTATGTACTGTTATAACGACAGCCCTAAGTATTTATTAGATTGACCAGGGAGGTATGTATGGACTGTTACAACGACAGACCTTGGTATTTATTAGATTGACCAGGGAGGTATGAATGTACTGTTACAACGACAGACCTAGGGATTCATTAGATTGACCAGGGTGGTATGTATGTACTGTTATAACGACAGACCTAGGTATTTATTAGATTGACCGGGGAGGTATGTATGTATGTACTGATATAATCACAGACCTAGGTATTTATTAGATTGACCGGGAGGTATTTATGTATTGTTATAACGACAGACCTAGGTATTTATTAGATTGACCAGGGAGGTATGTATGTACTGTTACAACGACAGACCTAGGTATTTATAAGATTGACCAGGGAGGTATGTATGGACTGTTACAACGACAGACCTTGGTATTTATTAGATTGACCAGGGAGGTATGTATGTACTGTTATAACGACAGACCTAGGTATTTATTAGATTGACCAGGGAGGTATGTATGTACTGGTATAACCACAGACCTAGGTATTTATTAGATTGACCGGAGAGGTATGTATGTACTGTTACAACGACAGACCTAGGTATTTATTAGATTGATCAGGGAGGTATGTATGTACTGTTACAAAGACAGACCTAGGAATTTATTAGATTGACCAGGGAGGTATGTATGTACTGTTATTACGACAGACCTAGGTATTTATTAGATTGACCGGGGAGGTATGTATGTACTGGTATAACCACAGACCTAGGTATTTATTAGATTGACCGGGGAGGTATGTATGTACTGTTATAACGACAGACCTAGGTTTTTATTAGATTGACCAGGGAGGTATGTATGTACTGTTACAACGACAGACCTAGGTATTTATTAGATTGACTGGGAGGTATGTATGTACTGTTATAACGACAGACCTAGGCATTTATTAGATTGACCGGGAGGTATGTATGTACTGTTACAACGACAGACCTAGGTTTTATTAGATTGACCAGGGAGGTATGTATTAAATAAGTAAATAATGGCATTACGACAGACTTAGGTATTTGATAAACTGAACAGGGATGTACGTTTTAAATAATTTCGTAACAACAGACCTTGGTACTGACTTGTTTGGTTATGATTTTATGTAACAGGTAAGGTCGTTAGTCTACAGATTTAGGTACTGACTTGTTTGGTTATGAGTTTATGTAACAGGTAAGGTCGTTAGTCTACAGATTTAGGTACTGACTTGTTTGGTTATGATTGTATGTAACAGGTAAGGTCGTTAGTCGACAGATTTAGGTACTAATTTGTTTGGTTATGATTGCATGTAACAGGTAAGGTCGTTAGTCGACAGATTTAGGTACTGACTTGGTTGGTTATGATTGTATGTAACAGGTAAGGTCGTTAGACGACAGATTTAGATACTGACTTGTTTGGTTATGATTTTATGTAACAGGTAAGGTCGTTAGTCGACAGATTTAGGTACTTACTTGTTTGATTATGATTTTATGTAACAGGTAAGGTCGTTAGCCGACAGATTTAGATACTGACTTGTTTGGTTATGATTTTATGTAACATGTAAGGTCGTTAGTCGACAGATTTAGGTACTGACTTGTTTGATTATGATTTTATGTAACAGGTAAGGTCGTTAGCCGACAGATTTAGGTACTGACTTGTTTGGTTATGATTTTTTGTAACATGTAAGGTCGTTAGTCGACAGATTTAGGTACTGACTTGTTTGGTTATGATTGTATGTAACAGGTAAGGTCGTTAGACGACAGATTTAGATACTGACTTGTTTGGTTATGATTTTATGTAACATGTAAGGTCGTTAGCTGACAGATTTAGGTACTGACTTGTTTGGTTATGATTGTATGTAACAGGTAAGGTCGTTAGTCGACAGATTTAGGTACTGACTTGTTTGGTTATGAATTTATGTAACAGGTAAGGTCGTTAGTCGACAGATTTAGGTACTGACTTGTTTGGTTATGATTTTATGTAACAGGTTAGGTCGTTAGTCGTCAGATTTAGGTACTGACTTGTTTGGTTAGGGTTGTACGTACAAGCCTGTTCTTATCCCGTTAAACCTATGTATTGATTTGTTTAGGCAGGCCTTAGCGTACTCCAAGCTAAGATCGCTGGACGATAGATGTAAATAATGACTTATATTATCACGAATTATGGAAATTGTCAGAAAGCATGAAAAACGGATCCTGCAAACTGTTGATTTAGTCAGTGTTGTAGGTAACAACTCTGGTTATATGACAACAAATCCTAGATATTGATTTATATTGAATGTTGTATATAACTAGTATGACGTCATTGGTGACTTTGTGTTGTCATCCTAGTAACTTATCTGCCTTAAAGATAGCTCACTTAAGGAGAAAACAAACATCAATAACATCTCTAGCAGTCTTCATTTGTGTTAAACAACTTAGTTTTAATTATCATAGTACAAAGAGCACAAGGCAAACAGCATAAATTTATGAAAGATGTTTAATTCATCCCCCTCAATGAATCACAAGCACATTATAAGTATACTAAGTAAAACCATTAAGGGTTTAATGTATAATGCTTACATTTATTTAATGTTCAACGTCCCACTAACCCACTACGCGAACAGCAATCCGGGGAGAGTAATATACAATACAGGGTCGTGGAAATGTAAATCATTTGACAATCAAGTTAAGAAAAGGACAAAAAATGGAAGAGGATAGCCGAAGACCTTTTTAGGGGCCGACTCAAATTCTACACAATGGTTTCATTAAATCCATCCCCGAGTCCAGGAAAGATAGTAACCCAATAGTAGGTCACCCACGTATAAATTGTACTGTGGTTCTCCTACTAAAGTGAGGATTTACAAAATAGAAATGTAAGTTCTGTGAAATGTTTATTTTACACACATCGCTGAACAGATAAACTTTAAAAAAAATAAAAGTTTAGTACTTACAGTGTACCTTATGTTTGAAGAAGATGCCAGGTGTGTTGATAATGTGTCTACTTTCAACACTGTCTCCCGCAGACTGTGGGTGATCTCCTTAGCTGGCTTTCCCATTCGCCCAGTAGGTATCCAACCGTAAAAAGGTGTGTTGCACCCGATGCCAATGCGTCTCATAGCATATAATTTATTCAGTAAATATAAGTCTTAAATTGACTAAAATGCCACATTTAGTGTGTTACAATACATTCTTTGTCGTATTTGTTTTTAGTTTTCCTTTTCATTTTTGTTTTGAAGAAAATTTAGCATAACACAACTATAATATAAGGTTTCACAACAAACACCGACAGTAAATCGTGTTAGCGGGGAACCGGGAGTTTTTCCAGGACGTCAGAGTGAGAAGTTTTGCCATATCACATTTTGCATGTATGTCTGCTTTCAACCTCTCATACCTATTCATAGGATATAGAATTTCGAAATTTTAATACATTGACGGTTTTAGCGAAATAGGATAAACTTGTTATCTACAGTAACTTTGTTACAATGATCATCTAACTACCGACATATAGCCTCATTTTAACGAGGGGGGAATACGTTTACAGTTTGTGTGACGGAAATTGTAAAGGCATCAGCGGGGTAGAGCACAAACCTGATGACAGTAAGGCCGGACAATGGTGGGATCTGAATAATGAGTGAAGTCACAGCTGGACCTTATAGTTAATCTAAAACGGAAAGTTAAACCCTGTTCACGATATCTACATAGTGTGATGAAGAATAGAGACATATATTTAGTTTACTACATACCAGAGGAACACCCGAAACTAACACAACCAACCGGTATGCCCACTCAGGTTGTGTTTGTTTCGCAAATTAGAAACAGAGTATTTGATACAATAAATGATTACAATTAAATTTTACAGTTTCAAAATACTTTCTGTAATATTTTGGGCCTATTATCAAACTAACGGTTGATGTATCAAAATTATATTTTGTCCATTAGTCAACATATGTATTGATATATATTATCCAATCAATAATCATGTTTCATATGGAAATCAATATATACAGTTTTTGCATTGTACGATTTATGATAGAAATTTCATTTACAAAACAGATTTTAAGTAAAATAAGAAAATTTCGTGACATTATGATAGTGTAAATAATTAGCCGAGTATCAGCACTGATACACACATTTACATGGATCTTCAGTACGGAGGGAGTTGTGTGCTCTTCTACTCTCATTTGTTAAATTCCATAAAACACAGGTTGTTATAATTTTTATAGCAATATGAAAGGTTTAGTGAAATGATCAAGTAACTTTACATTTTAAGCTCACGTTTTCTTTATGCACGGACATGAAAAAAACCCACTACATGTACACCTGATAATGGCAGTAAAACTCGTCATTACAGCTGTGCATAAATGATGGGTGGGGATACACACTTTACATATATATTATGTCATTAGAAGCCTATAGTAACCCGGCCCGTTGAATAACCTTACGAATGTATGTAAGACTATGAAAACCAACACAATTAAGTCGAGCGTAACACTACATCGGTTGTAATTTGAAACAGCGGATTCATATTTTAATTTGAAATATTTTCTCGTCTATATATAAAATGAAGCAGCAAACCTGAGTGTGTCTAGCTTAGATCTATTTGCCTTGTCAATGTGTACATTTCTTATTAAAATACAAGAACAATGTTATTTTTCGTCGACAACACTTAGAAATCTTTATTTGATGCTATGAACATATAATCCGTAAATAACCGAATTTGGCAAAAGGTTAAGCATTGACAATGTGCTGACTCCGAATGCCATCAATTAGTTCAGTTTTAAAATATGGAATTTTGAACAACTACATTTTTTTTCAAATTCAACGCAGGGTGTGATTTATATGTAACACTTCTGGAGAAAAATGACCCTAAAATATATTTTATGACAGTGACAATGGTTACGATATGTTTTAACTTGGTAGTACGACTCACCTTTATCTAAGTTTATGACTTGGTGCCAAAGAGTATGTTAAAAGTTGAATTATTACCTGATTGACCTGCTAGTTTGGAAGAATATATGCATACAATGTACTTACAAATCTCCAAACAGATTTGAATAAATTAAACTACTAATTTACATATTAGGACAACGACCGTGTTTGATCAGTGTTTAACTAGCAGTAACACACCGTCGAACAGCCACTGAGATATGTTTGATATTTGTTTAGGTAGATCTAATATGTACACACGTGCATAATATCTTTATGGTCTATCTTCCAGGTTAAGGTTACCCTGCACGTCTATAATCATTCGAGCACGTTTTTGTTTTTGCTATTTGAATTTTAAAATGCTTTAAGATACAAACCTGAATATTTAAAGACCTTATTTACGTTCACGGAAGGCAGTGATGGTTAAAATGATAATTTATGATTAAACACTCATATTTAAGCTAACAATATAGGGGTGTCGGGGGATGGTTCGTGCCAACCTCTTCTCATTTAACCTAAGATAATGGCTGTCTGGAAAAAGCCTAACAATGTCATGTAAATACTAATTTGTTCATAGATTTTCTTATTTATACGTATTGGAATGCTTTTATATACACCGAAAGATGGAGCACAAGTTAAACAACATCATCCAATTCTTTCTTCAGGAATTATTAAAACGGGGTGTGACAACGACAATTCAGGGGGGTGTCGCTATTTAAAGGATCCCTGCCACACTAGACTCTGGTTTAGAGTATATTCAGTAACCTCGTCCTAATTCTGGTTTCGCTACAACAGTAGCACAGTTGGGCCGGGAGACACGGTTAGAGCGACAGTATAAAACTGTGAGGTCCAGGGCCGAGAGACACGGTTAGAGCGACAGTATAACAATCTGAGATCCAGGACCGGGAGACACGGTTAGAGCGACAGTATAACACTCTTAGGTCCAGGGCCGGGAGACACGGTTAGAGCGACAGTATAAAACTGTGAGGGCCAGGGCCGAGAGACACGGTTAGAGCGACAGTATAACACTCTTGAGGTCCAGGGCCGGGAGACACGGTTAGAACGACAGTATAACATTCTGAGGTCCAGGGCCCAACACGGTTAGAGCGACAGTCTAACACTCTGAGGTCCAGGGCCTGGAGACACGGTTAGAGCGACAGAATAACACTCTGAGGTCTAGGCCCGAGAGACACAGTTAGAGCGACAGTATAGTTAGAGCGACAGTAAGAACGACAGTATAACATCCTGAGGTCCAGGGCCGTGAGACACGGTTAGAGCGACAGGATAACACTCTTGAGGCCCGGGCCCGGGGGACACGGTTAGAGCGACAGTCTAACACTCTGAGGGCCAGGGCCGAGAGACACAGTTAGAGCGACAGTATAACAATCTGAGGTCCAGGGCAGGGAGACACGGTTAGAGCGACAGTATAACACTCTGAGGTCCATGGCTGAGAGACACGTTTAGAGCGACAGTATAACACTGTGAGGTCCAGGGCCGGGAGACACGGTTAGAGCGACAGTATAACACTCTGAGGTCCAGGGCCGGGAGACACGGTTAGAGCGACAGTATAACACTCTGAGGTCCAGGGCCGGGAGACACGGTTAGAGCGACAGTATAACACTCTGAGGTCCAGGGCCGGGAGACACGGTTAGAGCGACAGTATAACACTCTGAGGTCCAGGGCCGGGAGACACGGTTAGAGCGACAGTATAACACTCTGAGGTCCAGGGCCGGGAGACACGGTTAGAGCGACAGTATAACACTCTGAGGTCCAGGGCCGGGAGACACGGTTAGAGCGACAGTATAACACTCTGAGGTCCAGGGCCGGGAGACACGGTTAGAGCGACAGTATAACACTCTGAGGTCCAGGGCCGGGAGACACGGTTAGAGCGACAGTATAACACTCTGAGGTCCAGGGCCGGGAGACACGGTTAGAGCGACAGTATAACACTCTGAGGTCCAGGGCCGGGAGACACGGTTAGAGCGACAGTATAACACTCTGAGGTCCAGGGCCGGGAGACACGGTTAGAGCGACAGTATAACACTCTGAGGTCCAGGGCCGGGAGACACGGTTAGAGCGACAGTATAACACTCTGAGGTCCAGGGCCGGGAGACACGGTTAGAGCGACAGTATAACACTCTGAGGTCCAGGGCCGGGAGACACGGTTAGAGCGACAGTATAACACTCTGAGGTCCAGGGCCGGGAGACACGGTTAGAGCGACAGTATAACACTCTGAGGTCCAGGGCCGGGAGACACGGTTAGAGCGACAGTATAACACTCTGAGGTCCAGGGCCGGGAGACACGGTTAGAGCGACAGTATAACACTCTGAGGTCCAGGGCCGGGAGACACGGTTAGAGCGACAGTATAACACTCTGAGGTCCAGGGCCGGGAGACACGGTTAGAGCGACAGTATAACACTCTGAGGTCCAGGGCCGGGAGACACGGTTAGAGCGACAGTATAACACTCTGAGGTCCAGGGCCGGGAGACACGGTTAGAGCGACAGTATAACACTCTGAGGTCCAGGGCCGGGAGACACGGTTAGAGCGACAGTATAACACTCTGAGGTCCAGGGCCGGGAGACACGGTTAGAGCGACAGTATAACACTCTGAGGTCCAGGGCCGGGAGACACGGTTAGAGCGACAGTATAACACTCTGAGGTCCAGGGCCGGGAGACACGGTTAGAGCGACAGTATAACACTCTGAGGTCCAGGGCCGGGAGACACGGTTAGAGCGACAGTATAACACTCTGAGGTCCAGGGCCGGGAGACACGGTTAGAGCGACAGTATAACACTCTGAGGTCCAGGGCCGGGAGACACGGTTAGAGCGACAGTATAACACTCTGAGGTCCAGGGTCGGGAGACACGGTTAGAGCGACAGTATAACAATCTGAGGTCCAGGGCCGGGAGACACGGTTAGAACGACAGTATAACACTCTGAGGTCCAGGGCCGGGAGACACGGTTAGAGCGACAGTATAACACTCTGAGGTCCAGGGTCGGGAGACACGGTTAGAGCGACAGTATAACAATCTGAGGTCCAGGGCCGGGAGACACGGTTAGAACGACAGTATAACATTCTGAGGTCCAGTGTTCCAATTAAGGTATAGTCCCGCTGAAGTTTAACACAAAAACTGTTGTTGATTATATTTTGTATCTTTAACCTTGACAATATTTTCATAAAAGTTCCAAAGCCATGTTTTTTTTCAGAAAATATTTAGAGTAGCTATATCCTGCCGGAAAAAAAAGATAAATAATAGAGAACACTCCAAGGTGTTGTTTCAATTTAACATCTAATGAAGTCAGGGAAAGAGAACATCACAGTA